TAAAAACAATTGCTGTGAAGACTAAAGGTCCCTGAAAGAAAATAACAATGTTAATTAATCAAAAATATATATATATAAAATATATATATATATATATATATATATATATATATATATATATATATATATATATATATAAATCACTGGAATTTTTCAACCAGTTCGAACTACAGATGAAGAAAATTGAGTTAAAATCAACTAAATGAAAGTCAAAAATTAAATATAAATTGCTTAACAAGAATCTATGTTAGTAAGTTATTGTAACATTCAATCACTGAAGAATATTATGATAAACATACTACTATTTCTGGTTGTAAAACAAATACATAATTATGATTATATGCCTAAGAGACATTTACACTGTTCACATACAAGATATTACAAGATACTACATATTATATTACAAGAAAACAATGGCAGATTTGTGTATTTGAGCTATTCTTTCTGAAATTACTTTAGCATTCCAAGTCTATGTAAACGTAGTACCAGGAATGAGATGTTAGACAAATTTAAGAGAATTAAAAGAAATGGAAAACCGAGGTGATGTGTTTAATAAAACCCTTTCCCTGAAACTCCATCATTACAACAATATAATGATGAGTTTCAGAGAATGTGTTTTATAAAAGATTTCAGTTCCTTGTAATTTTGTTCAGTTTGTCTCACACATCTCATTCCATCCGCATGCATGATTTCAACAGCATAGTTATAACAAGGGTTCAAAATATGTGACATTTTCTGTATTGCAAAAAGCCTGTGACTCAGAGAGAATGAGGAAAAGTGCACAGTTAGAACAGGCTGTCCCATGATTAGCTCTGCCTGAGAGGATGAGTCCAGCTTGCAGCCAAGCAGAAAAACACACCCAAATTCCCTCAAATGTCAATCAAAGCCGGCGCTTTCACTCCTTGTTAGGTTCATTTACAATGGTTAACATTTTACAGATTGCCAGCAGAAGAGGAGTGGAGAACGATGGGAAATATGCGTCTGCTGTTGCTTGCTGGCACTGAGAAACAGGTCAAACACATCTCTGCATAAAAATAGCAGTTGATGGGTCTAATTTTATATAACACCAGTCAAACCATTGTGCACCCTCAAGCCATTTAACATTTAGATATCGTAATGATTTGTCATCATTCAAAGTTATTCATTTGATTGTGTAATTGCATTTGGGTTGCTGGAGATTATGTGGTGTAAATATGAGCAAAGCTGTATGTGATGTGTAATAAAACTGTCATTTGCTTTAGGTAATAATTTGATCTGTTCTTTTATAAGAGATTCAAAAAATGACAAATGAGGTTACATAAACATTTTTATACTGAAATGATTATGCCTGATAGGGAATATATCCAAATAATTGATACACAACACACATTTAGGCTGAATCTAATGATATCCCTTTAGTGTTTATAAAAATATCACTTTGCGAACTAACATTTTATGCCCTGTTTTATGCCCGAACAAAACCAACAAATATGTGATGTGTAATAAAACTGTCATTTGCTTTAGGTAATAATTTGATCTGTTCTTTTATAAGAGACTCAAAAAATGACAAATGAGGTTACATAAACATTTTTATACTGAAATGATTATGCCTGATAGGGAATAGATCCAAATAATTGATACACAACACACATTTAGGCTGAATCTAATGATATCCCTTTAGTGTTTATAAAAATATCACTTTGCGAACTAACATTTTATGCCCTGTTTTATGCCCGAACAAAACCTGTAAACAATGTATTATAATTGGAGGCAGATTAAATCCTGCAAAAGAAAAACTGGTAACACTTTAGTTCTAGTTTTAATTCTCACTATTAACTAGTTGTTTATTAGCATTCATATTAAGCATATTGGCTGTTTATTAGTACGTATAAAGCACATATTAATGCCTTATATAATTCTATATTACTTACCCCCATACCTAAATTTAACAACTACCTTACTATCAATAAGCAGTAATTAGGAATTTATTGAGGCAACAGTTGTAGTTAATAGATAAAAATTTGAAATGGTCCACAAAGTAAAGTTTTTTTTAACAAAAATCATTTTCAGTTATGGCATCTGCAAATGGCATATCACTAGGGACCAACCATTTTTTCATAATTATAATTTGAATATATATAATTTGCCTTTTGATCTAATTTTTACAGCAAAGTCCATCCTGAATCTTGAAAAATGTTACAGCAATATATACTGTTGTCAAAATAGACAACTGACTTCAAGGAAATCACTCCCTCTTACTGTTAAGACTGAAAGAGAAAAAGTAAAAAATAAAAAAAAACTATAAAACTGTGTCGACACTTGTTAAATATTTACATTTTCATTTGCAATTAAAAATTAATAAATCCAGAAGCATTTATCTTAAGGTCAATTAGTGAAAACTGACAATTCCCAACTGTTTCAAATGGCTTACGTCATTGCAACATTTTAATAAAATAATTTTTATTTATTTATTTATTTTTGTCATGAGGGTCTTGGGATGATGTGTGCCAAGTTTCATGTGAATCAAACCAAAAGCCTTGGAAGAGTTTTTCATTTCAAAATCGCAGAAAAATCACCTGAAGTAAACTGTAAATCTAGAATCTTTCGATTATAGACCTTACAGTCACAGAGCAATTGTGCCATATAGTGTCTGATTACGAACCATCCCATCAAGTTTGAGATTTCTAGTGATTCAAGATTTTTTATTTTTAAAATGTCACTACAAAACAAAACAAAGACATACGGATAGATGAACATGTCACATCTTCTTATGAAATCAGAAAATAAACCCAGTTATACCCCAAGTAAAGCTAGCAGTTTCTGAATTATAGACTGAGATACATTTAACCAAACACTTACACTTCATTGATACTTTTCTGCTTGAACATTTAACACTGCTCTGAAATGGACGGCAGTTTTTTTTGACATTCAAAGAATCTGCCCAAAGGTCCACAACAACAGCAACAACATTATCAAACCTCATCACAGTGTATGACCAAGAAAGTGGTTATGGCATGTATTAATAAATTAAAACTATCCAATACATGTGAAGCAAGGGGAAAATATAAAAAAACAGAGTGTCAGGAAATGAGGATATCAAGCTAACAATGTGATCCCGTTTATTTACTGTATTATTATTACTGTACTATTATTTACTGTAATATTTCCTTTTAACAATCAAAACTGAGTCTAACCATTATAATTGTGTTATAATTCATGTATTAATCCAAGATTTATTTTGTGAATATTATCTTTTTAAATATTGGACATGGACAAATCCAACACAGACTATAGTATATTCTCAATGTAATGCTTTAGAAATAAATACTAGCAGCTTTTGAAGCCACAAACATTTTTTAAGGTCGGACTGAACTATAACCACAGTAAATGGATGTTTAACAACCGTGAAGATCTAAACCATCTAAACCACAAACAAGCCTCTAAAGCGAAAGCATCATAAGCATTTTACAAGGCACAAAACTATTTTTTGTCTTAGTCACTTTTACAAACAACTATAAACCTGCCAGTCTTTCCCCATAGTGCCATTCTGAAATCTGAACAAATGAAACTCTTTGGAACTGCAGTGAAAAGAGAACCATCTCCATGGTTGCCACAACTGAATCTACAACTTTATATCATGGTGACAGAATGAAGCTCTACTGGTCTTCCTGAAAGGGGTAGCTGAGAGCTGGAGGGAAAACCTGGCTCCTGGACTGTTCATCCAGCAGAGCCAAATCGTCAACGTCTCGTCCTCTGAATCTGCGGCGGCAAACTTTCACTGACACTTTTTGCCCTTGAAACACTTTGAGTGCTTCTTTGGAGGCCATTGCCCTGGCGGCAACCTCATCACGCCCGTAGCCCGTACCCATGTAGACGGTGCAGCAGCGCAGTTCACAAACCTGGCCTTCTTTCTGGGTACGTCCCGTAGGCAGGTCAGGAATGTCTTTGAGTGGAACAAACACACAGTTAAGACTGGCCTTGCATGATTCCACACAACTGCGCAAGATTTCAAAGTGTTCCAGGTTGGGGCCAAAGCCACCAGCAGATACAAGCTTCCAAGCAACTGCCTTATAGAGTCGATTAAAAAAGGGCTGGTGTTCTGCAGGAGCCCCCGGCGGAGGGCCCGATTTCAGAGCACTGGCAGCTGGATGCCCAACACTCTTCACATGAGCTTTAACATCTGTATCATTGGGTTTAGCCTTCTTGTTCTGGTAATCAGCTTCCACTGCTACAAAATATAGTTAAAGTGACCAGTGTAAATCAGTGATCAAATCATTCTGTATTACTACACTAAAATCTTACTGGGGTAAAATTACATTTTAAAATACATTCAACTGGAAAACAGTTATTTTAAATTGTAATAATATTCCACAATATTACTGTATTTTGTATTAAGATATTTATTTTAAAAGCATTAAAAAGCTTACCAACTCCAAATGTTTGAATGGTAGTGTATATTAATTGAATGACGTGCAGTAAAGATAGCCCATTTACCTGAAACTGCAGGTCTTTTTGTTTTCCCCATGATTTCATCTCTAGTTTTTCGCACAGGGGCCTCAGTCACAGTGATTCCTTCTGCCATCTCATTTATCTTGTCCATTACAGGCTGTGGATACCTGCATTAGTGTCAGTGACAAACAAGAGAGTTCTCAGTAAAAAGGAAAAAACTTTTTTTTTAAGTCTAGTCTAAAACATGTGCCAAGTTATTAGAAAAGTATCCTTGGTGTGACTATTATTTGATGAACATTTTTCAAATGCTCACATACTAATAACAAATCAAACAAACTGCTTTACTACCTTTTCCCCCAAAATAATAAAAGATTTTGTCAAAAAGTTTACTTTTCAAGAACTTCATCCGTTTGATCTTTATTATGATATCAGGAGAGTTCTATGACCTTTACATTTTCTACTTCATGTGACTCCAAAAACGTACACATTGATTTGTAATACCACTGATTCTTGAGACATGGGCCAAAACATGTTCAGCAATTGTAACTGCTATTAGGTTTAAAATGGAATATCTTTTCAATTGTAAATGTTACGAGGGATAAATAATAGAATGTATTTAACACAATTATCCCCTTCAATTTAATTTGATCATTATTATATGAAATCTATGACACTTATTGTCTTCTCACTACATCTAAAACAGTGTGTCCACAGAGAAGGGTTCAGTCATTCATATGCTATAGAATGGATAAAACATTTTTAATGATGAAAAAGAGCTTGTTTTATCAAAAGCAACACTTAATAATATCTCATATTAAAGCAAATTTGTTTTTCAAATACACGTGCGTTTCATAAGATTTCAAAGTTGTGTCCCCACTTTTTGTCAACACCGTCAGACATTCATTAAAATGTAATAAAATCAGGGAATATCAGGGGCAGCTGTCACTCTAAAGGACCCCCTTGCCACATTCCACCTCTGTAGAGTACATCAGTGTCAGACAGGCTCTGGTAAGTTTTATAGATTTTTTTATATTTTTAATATTAACGTTAATATTTCCTGTCACAACCATATGTCAACACCATCTTCCAATTTCTGAGGAAATGATTAGATCCTTTTATTCTCCTGAAGCAGGTTCTATTAGCATCTAACATCAACAGAGAAAACGAAATTGCTACTACATGAACTCAAAAGAAATGCCAAATTCGTCAACACTGTCAGATGTCACACCGTAAGATTTTCTGTCTGACGGTGGTGACGGGCCTATGATGAAGAGTTGATATCCAACATGAAGTCATCATATTTTTGTGGTTTTCAAGTCATTTTTAATTATATTAAATATAAAATAGTGTTACATTTTTCAAAAAAATGTGCAAATACTAAATATGTGACCTGACAGCATATATTGCTTTTGTGGATTGATAGTCACCACTTCTAGCAGAGTCAGGGTTGAGGGAACATAAGGCTGAGGGAGTGCATAACACTTGATTAAACATATATATTCATAATACAGTTTGTTTGTATACTGATAATATGTGTTCTGATCATTTTTGGATCATTTGTTAAGATTTTTAAATGTGAATATTAAGATCCTGGTGAATGTAAATGGATTGAGGTAACAACTAATTGTTTCATTTGTTTGTTGTTTTAAAAGTTACCTTGCTACAATTGCAGAAGCACAGCAGACATACTTTTCTGAGAGGAGAGAAAACAGATCATTTGTGTTCCAATGATATATCAAAATACTTAAATGTGAATCTTGAATAAAAGCTTTATAAACAATAACATACTCACTGTTTGTTGTATTTGTTTTAATACAGTAATCGATTGATTAAATGTGTTTGATAGTTAAAATGACTACAAATTCAGGTTTTTGTCACCACACGTGTCAACTCTGTCAGGTGAATATTTTGATAATATTTCCTTATGATATTTTATATTTGTTGAGGAATTATTGGTCACATGTGAAAATGTAATCTGTCTGCTAACATGAGAATGTGTTTTGAACTTACAAACATCTTGACTAAGTGGTGGCAAGGTAAATAGCACATTTTGATAAAAAAAGAGAAAAGTTAGCAAAGTTGAATCAAGGCATAGCTCAATAGCTTAATAGTACATTTAAGATACATAAATGTAGTTTCATTTGTCTGAGTCCAAGGTTTTATTTTTTTAATATGGCACCCTGTTTTGTCCCACTTCTCAATAATCAGTGATACTACAATATTAACTTTAATATTTTATGTATGCATTGTACACTACCTTTCAAAAGTGTGGGGTCAGAAAATTATTATTTTTTAAAGAAGTCTCTTATTCTCACCAAGGATACATTCATTTGATCACAGAAAGATTGAGAAATATTACTACACATTTAAAATAACTTTATATTTTAATATATTTTAAATGTTAATTTAATCCTGTGACGACAAAGCTGCTTTTTCAGGAGCCATTGCATTGTTGTGAAAAACGTGAAGAAGAAAAAAACATTTTTCAAGATACTTTGAAGTATGCATTCAAAGAGTATTAAATTGAAACGGAAATATTTAGTAACATTATAAAACATTTCATGTGTTTTTGCTGAATAAAAGTATTGATTTCTTAAAAAAAAATAAAATAAAAAAACCTACTGACCCCAAACTTTGAAAATAAATAGATTCATTGACCAACTGAAATTAGAAATGCATTTCGTGCTTATGAAAACAAAAATCGAAAAAAAGACAATTACCGACAGCCCAAAAACACGTGGTTGGCCCAAACCATGGACAGAGACAGAAGTCTGTCCAAACTAGAACTTGGGATCCCAGGTTGGATGGTAGGAAAGACCTCCATGTTGCGCAGAACAAATTCTCTTCTGGCGTGCCACTGTTTGTTTGTCTCACAGGGTCCTCTTAAAGATTCCACCCAGTTCTCCAGGTGTGGATTCTGACTGAGAAACTCAGAGACGACATCTCCTCCTCTCCCCTCCGCCATCACTGGAAACATGCAAAGCAATCAAAAGTTAGTTTGAGAAGTCCATAAAAAAGAAAGTATCCCACACAGCAGGTTCAGGGCCCGAGGGCTGTAATTCCAGGCTTCTATGTTTCCCAGCGACAGACAAACAAACAGTTCAACAGCAGTAGGCAAGATATTAATGCTGCAGACTGAACAGTTTACACATAAACATATGTATTCTAATTTGACATTAGAGCTCTCAGTGCTGAGCTAATTGTAGTTTTCGGCTTGTTTTCATTCGAGCTCGGACAGATTATTATTCTAAATTATCACGTTATAATTACCAACGCATTTTAGTAATACATTAGCACTATGCTCACCCTGCAGGGATTTACATGACTCTAATCTCAACTTCATTGAACCCAATCAGTCGCTATATGTGCAATCAAAATATGTCATATAAATTAAACGAAACACTGCACAACAGATCGTTAAGAGAAAATAAGCACTGTTTACCTCTAAATATATATTCTCCGCAGACGAGTCCTCATCAGCTGTATGTAGCAAAAAGATAATATTTAATGTGAGTGTAGTGGAGCTGGCTGAGCACTTCCCTGTCGCGCTCGGGACTGCGTCATCAACATGCGACCGGGGTTTTGGCGGTGCGAAAATATGAATGATGAGCTCTTACTATCTGTATCTTTATTATCGTGTGTTTCATTTGGGTACGCTATCTGACTAACAGCACTGATAAAATGATCCATGAGCTGCTGCTGGCCCTGAGTGGATATCCTGGGACAATATTTACTTGGAATAAACGGAATGGATTGCAGGTATTGCATGTACTCCGTCAGTGATGCCTCTAATAACGTTTGTGTGTATACCTGTATTTATAGACAGGATAAACTGCATTATGGCTGTACAGAAGTACCACCATAATGTTTAGCTGACATGCAGTATTTTTTTATTTACACTATATTAATATAAAAAATAAAAAAATCCCCTACTGTGGCTGTGATAGTTACATTCAGTTACCATGATATAACAATACATAAAAGGTATTACCATGACGCATGCCCAAAAACATGGTAATATCACGGTATTCTGAATTATTTTTAAAAAAATACCATGTCCCTGGTACTATGTTGGTGGTGTGTCAGTATAATGGGAATCAAGTGTTGCTGATCACAGGTGTCCCAGGACCTTCCGTTCCTCCACCCCAGTGAAAGCAGTGTCCTCAACCGGCTCTGTAAAATGGGCACTGACTATGTGCGCTTCACAGAGTTCATAGAGCAACACACGGGTCATGTCCACCAACAGGTAATCTGAGAGTATTCTACATGCATTGTGTGTGAAGGGCATGATCAGATCAAGGCTGTGATTTCTTCTTCTTGTCTCACAGGAGCATTACTCCAGTCAGCCGAGTCAGACGGGGCTTCATGGCATTTACCTGCGGGCGTTCTGCACCGGGCTCAACTCTATGCTGCAGCCCTATCGGCAGGCTTTACTGGACCTTGAAAAAGAGGTTTTACATTTGAAGTCCTTGTGGTGCTTTTATGACTTAATTTTAAGATAATATTAAACATTTTAAATATTTAAAAACTTTACATTTTCCCTACAGTTTCTTGGTGATACACACCTCTCCATTTCTCATGTAAACTACATGCTGGAACAGGTAAATCCAACTGTTTAGAGGTTTCACCTATACATCCATTCCGCTGAATTATCTAATTGATCTTTTAACACTACTGTTCAAACGTTTGGGACCAGTAATATATATTTTTAAAGAAATGAATGCTTTTATTCAGCAAGAATGCATTAAATTGATCAAAAGTCATTTATAATGTTACATAAGATTTCTTAAAAAAAAAATACCATGGCTTCCAAAATGCTGTGACGGAGCACAGCTGTTTTCAACATTGATAATAATAAGACATTTTTCTTGAGTGCCAAATCAGCATATTAGAATAATTTCTAATCTAGAATGATTTTTTTGACTTCGCTGAAGACTAGAGTGATGATGACTGCTGAAAATTCAGCTTTGCCATCACAAGAAAAAAAACTTTTAAAAAATATATAAAATGTTATTTTAAATTGTAATGATATTTCACAATATTACCTTTTTACTGTATATTTTATCAAATAAGTGCAACCTTGGTAAACACAAGACTTCTTATAAAAGCATTAAAAAAAGCTTACCAACCTCAAACTTTTGAACAGTAGTGTGTATATATGGTTGTAAATGAATTTTAATTATATCAAATTACACTGCCGTTCAAAAGTTTGGGATAAGTCAGATTTTAATGCTTTTTAATGGAGTCTCTTATGCTCATCAAGGCTTTTGATCAAAAATACAGAAAAACAGTAATATTGTGGCACTGCAGTTTCTAATATTGGTTTCTTATATTAATATAAGTTAAAATATAGTTTATTTCTGTGACGCAGTGCTGAATTTTCATCAGCTATTACTCCAGTCTTCAGTGTCACATGATCCTTCAGAAATCATTCTAATATGCTGATTTATTATCAGTGTTGAAACTGTTGTGCTGCTGGAACCTGTGATACGTTTTCTCTTCAATTCTTTGATGAATAAAAAGTTAAAAAGAACAGCATTTATTCAAAATAGAAATCTTTTCTAACTATATAAGCCTTTACTGTCACTTTTAATCCATTTAACACATCCTTGCTGAATAAAAATATTAATTTCTTTTGAAAAAAGAAAGAAAACATTTACTGACCCCAAACTTTTGAATAGTAGCGTGTATTTTAACACACAATTTCTATTTTGAATAAACACTGTTCTTTTTTTTACTTTTTATTTATGAAAGAATCCTGAAAAAAGTATCACAGGTCCCAAAAAAATATTAAGCAGCACAACTGTTTCCAACATTGATTATAAATCAGCATATTAGAATGATTTCTGAAGGATCATGTGACACTGAAGACTTTAGTAATGATGCTTAAAATTCAGTTTTGATCACAGCAATAAATTATATTTTAAAGTATTTTAAAATAGAAACCAGTTACTTTAAATTGCAATAATATATAGCCTTTATGAGCGTAAGAAACGTATTTGAACATTAACAATTTTACTGATCCCAAACTTTTAAATGGCAGTGTAAGTTTCAGATTTTTAATATGAACACTAAGTTTTCAACCCACTGTATATGACTAACTTGCAATTTACTGTGTTGTTTAGTTTCAGCTTCTCTTCCCCTCTGTGATGGTTGTTGTGGAGACCATCAAGTCTCAGAAGGTTGGTAGCTTGACTGGCGCCACTGGTTTGCAGTAAATGATTAGAAGAGTGCATGGTTGAAAATAATAACCTTTCTGAAACTTTCTTGTTTCACCAGATTCATGGCTGCCAGATCCTAGAGACTGTGTACAAGCACAGCTGTGGAGGCCTGCCTCCTGTCAGGATGGCCTTAGAGAAGTGAGCTCTCAAAAACCCAACTTAAAAACCCCTAATGCACGTGGCGGTGGAACGTAAGACACAGAATTCTATTTTTACTGCTCTAATGGTAGTGTCTGCTTTGCAGGATTCTTGCAGTCTGCCATGGCGTGATGTATAAGCAGCTGGCCGCGTGGATGCTGCACGGGTTGCTGCTGGATCAGAGTGAGGAGTTCTTTGTAAAGCAGGGCCCCAGCGCAGGCGGAGCCACAGCTGCACAGGAGGAAGAGGAGGAGGACCTGGGTATCGGAGGGCTGAGTGGAAAACAGCTCCGTGAGCTGCAGGATTTGGTGAGCGACTAAATATCTGAGGTTCTGTGTTTCAGGGCAGGCTGGGTCATGTGTCTGGAGTGATTTCTTAAGGCCCGTTCACACTAAGAACGATAACGATAAAGCTATAGTTGTAAAAATCGTTCTCAATATTAAAGAATACCACAGCCATAATGATAAAGGCACAGAGAAACGATATCGTTTCAGAACGATTTTTTCCAGCTGATGAACGATAAAAATATTGACACCCAATTAGAATCCATCCTGCTATAATGAGCTCGAGAATTTAAAGCGACAGACACGTGTGTGTTTAGAATAAACAGATGATATCTTCCGCTGGTGTGGACGCTAAAATAGTTATTTTTATAGTTATCGTCCTTGGTGTGAACGGGGCTTTAGTCTCTTAATGTATGTTTATGTGTGTTTGTGTGTATATGTAAACATGGAGGTCCAAGGCTCAACCATAAAGATTTTTATTTATTTTAACCTGCCCAGTTGTTTACATTTTTCACTTGCTCTGTGAATATTTTCAGCGGCTGTAACACAAAGATGGATTTTATCTTGGCAGTGCTTTTTTTTTAAAATAAATAAATGTATTATATAATTTTATTTCGTAAAGAAAAAAAAATCTCAACAAAAAAACCTGTAAATTATACAACCATAATCTTAACTTCATAAATTCATCAGCAAACTTTTTCTGGATGTAAAATATTGCTGATTTGTTTAAAGTTCATTAACAAATGCTGAAGTTTTCAAGGCCTAAAAATCGATGAAATAAAACCAATTTACACTTTCAGAATGCCTCCAAAAATAAATTGGTCCCTTGCAAAACTTCTTCTATAATGATCAGTTTTTATCTCAGCAATGTAATTTTATATATTTTACTTTATATTTATATTTAGTTTTCTTTAATGTTTGTTTTTTACCAAAAAAAAAATAACAGTAAAAATGTACAATAACAAAACAACTATAATTAACATTATAAACTCCACAAATTCATCAACATACTATTTCTGAATGCAAAATAAATACATACACAACTGCCTTTGAATGGCCATCAGTGGAGAAAGATGCTATCTGGCAGCAGAATGGTGTAGTTAGATACCAGAGAATGCTGTCTGCTTGTACATTCATTAAAATTTGGCAGTTTACTGCAGTTACTGACGGTGAATTATCATGATTGATACATTTTCTAGGTTTAAATTGTCTTCTGTTCATTACTGTTCCTCTGTAGAGACTGATTGAGGAAGAGAACATGCTCGCTCCATCCCTGCAGCAGTTCTCCTTGCGTGTGGAGATGCTTCCCTCATACATACCTGTTCGAGTAGCTGAAAAAATCCTCTTTGTTGGGGAGTCGGTGCAAATGTTTGAAAATCACAACCAGAGCCCATCCCGAGCTGGTGAGTGGAAGAGCGTTGTTCAGGTGTGTTGTGATGGTTTCGTTTGGTAACGCTGCCCTCATGTGGTTGTTCAGGGTCTATACTGAAGCACCAGGAGGACATGTTTGCAGCAGAGCTCCACAGACTCAAGCAGCAGCCTCTCTTTAGTCTAGTGGACTTTGAGAATCTTGTGGATGGCATTCGGAGCACAGTTGCGGAGGTTTGTCCTGTAACTAAATTGGTATTCAAAGGTGAATCCCACGAAACATGTCTCAAACATCTCTGGGTCATATTTGAAAAGATGAAGTTTATTTTTAATCAGTTAGGATTTTTGATATTGTAACATTATTTTTATGAATAAGATCCCCCCATTGTGTCCCCTATTCGTATTACTGTAATGTGAAAAAAAGGAAAAAAGACACTTTGCAATAAAGTCCCATTAGTTAACATTAATATTTATTTATTTACAGTATTTATTAATATTTAACATTAGTTTGTAAAAAATACAACTGTTCACCGTTAGGTCTTGTTAGCTCATATTAATTGAACAATATTAATAGATAAAATGTTTGATTTTAATAATGTATTAAAGGGATTGTTCACCCAAAAACCTAACCCTAACCCTCCACTTCCAAACCTGTATGAGTTTCTTTCCTCTGTTGAACACAAAAGAAGATATTTTGAAGAATGTCGGTAACCAAACAGTTCATGGTAGCCATTGACTTCCATAGTATTTTTTCCATACTTAATAATTGATTAAATTAATAAATGTTTAATTTAAACAAATGGAACTTTATTGAAAAGTGTTACCAAAAATTGTGTAAAATTGAAATTTTGAAATATTGTGTTGTATTATATTGGTAATGAGAATCTAAAAGATGATAAGATCAAAAGCTGGGCTTCCACCATCATGGAAAATGTGCAAATGTCAGGAATAATTAGAATTCTGATCTCAGCAGTGCCACAAACTGATCACCTCCATGCCACGCCGAATTGAGGCAGTAATTAAAGCAAAAGGAGCCCCTACCAAGTATTGAGTACATGTACAGTAAATGAACATACTTTCCAGAAGGCCAACAATTCACTAAAAATTTTTTTTTTAAATTGGTCTTATGAAGTATTCTAATTTGTTGAGATAGTGAATTGGTGGATTTTTGTTAAATATGAGCCAAAATCATCACAATTAAAAGAACCAAAGACTTAAACTACTTCAGTCTGTGTGCATTGAATTTATTTAATACATGAGTTTCACAATTTGAGTTGAATTACTGAAATAAATGAACTTTTCCACAACATTCTAATTTATTGAGATGCACCTGTACTTTTTTCAAGCTAAATTATGTGCATGTTTTCATGAGATTCACCCAAATTAACAGCACGACCAGATCTACATGCAATTGTGTTTGTGTCTTTTTTCTTTCTGCAGCATTTATGGACTTTGATGGTTGAAGAATCTGATCTTTTGGGGCAGCTGAAGGTAAATAAAGAGCAGTTTGTTAATGACATGCTTTTGCTGGTGCACTTTTGCTTTCACAATAAATATTTTGTTGTCCTTTTAGATCATAAAGGACTTCTACTTGTTGGGGAGAGGTGAACTGTACCAGGTCTTCATTGACCTTGCTCAACATATGCTGAAAACCCCACCATCTGCCGTTACTGAACATGGTATTAAGAGATTTTCTATAATTAAAAACCATAAGGTCACCCTCTTCAAATTCTTCTTTCCTCTTCATAATTTCTCTGAATTTGCTTTATTTGTTTCAGATGTCAATGTGGCTTTTCAGCAAGCAGCTCACAAAGTGCTGCTAGACGATGACAATCTTTTGCCCCTCCTGCATCTCACCATAGACTACCAAGGGAAAGAAAGCAAAGGTGTTGCATGCTGAATAGCATTTTTATCCTTCACCAACCCTTTCCACATATTAAATACTTCACAGAATTGGATAATTATGCTTGCAGAGGCTTCTGGGAATCGAGAGGGCACCACTCCACCACAGGAGACTTCTCCTCGTGAGGCTCCGCCTACAGGCTGGGCAGCACTGGGATTGGCTTACAAGGTTCAGTGGCCCCTACATATTCTTTTCACTCCTGCTGTGTTGGAGAAGTAGGTCATTGTTTTATGTTAGCAATTTAATAAACAGTATGAAAACCACAGCAGCTTATATGAAGTTAACCCTTTCTTGATTTAGGTATAATGTAGTGTTCCGTTACCTGCTGAGTGTGCGTCGAGTCCAGTCTGAGCTGCAGCACTGCTGGGCCTTGCAGATGCAGCGCAAACATCTCAAATCAAACCAGATGGATGCCGTTAAATGGAGACTCCGCAACCACATGGCCTTCCTAGTGGACAACCTTCAGTATTACCTTCAGGTTACAACTTGAGTCATCTATTTGGCTACCTTTCAATTTGCACACTACACACACTGAATATATTTTAGGTGTTTCCTCCATTGCTCTTCAGGTGGATGTTCTGGAGTCCCAGTTTTCGCAGCTCTTACAACAGATCAATGCCACACGAGACTTTGAGAGCATTCGACTGGCCCATGACCATTTCCTCAGCAATCTCCTTGCGCAGTCTTTCATTCTGCTCAAGCCTGTGAGTGTCCATAACAAACCTCTCTTTATATCAGTATACCCAAGCTATGTTCTGCTTTTGGTTGAATCTGGCTTCTTTCTCAGGTGTTTCACTGTTTGAATGAGATCCTGGACCTCTGTCACAACTTTTGTTCCCTGGTCAGTCAGAATCTCGGGCCTCTGGATGAAAGAGGAGCAGCGCAGCTGGATATTCTTGTGAAGGTAGCTTTGCTTTGTGTGAATTGATTTCAGAATTATTCCAAATGCAAGATTGTATTTATGGAAGCCCATTTCTGCCTCATGAAGGGGGAAAAAATTGGTTAATCAAAATGTATACAAAAAAAGTTGATTGACAAAATTTTCAAAAATGAGTAAATTTTGAATTATGAATTCATTGTGAAAGTAAAAACTGAGCTACTAAGTGAAATGTCAATTGACAGTCATAATTATGCTATAAAATTATGAGAAGTCAGTTATGACTTTTGAAATTAGGAGATACTAAGTTAAAAAGTCTAAATTATGACAAGTGGAAATTGAGATAAAACTGTCAATGTCTGTCAATCATGGCAGTTGAAAGTGAGATACTAAGTAAAGTCAAAATTATGACACAAAAAGTCAAAATATGGTTTTTGTCATAAATATGATTTACAAAGTATTTTGATATGAAATGGGCTTCCATAAATACAATCTTGGATTTGGAATCATTTTAAAATCAAACCTTATGTCATAATAATTATAAGGTGTCAAACAAAAAGGTCAGCTTTTTATTTCAGTTTCAACATTTTTATCTCATGATTTACCAAAGTATGATTTTTTTATTTTATGTGTGTGTATTACTTGTCAGGGTTTTAGTCGTCAATCATTCCTGCTCTTCAAGATTCTTTCCAGTGTGCGTAACCACCAGATAAACTCTGACTTGGCACAGCTGCTGTTACGACTCGACTACAACAAATACTACACACAGGCAGGAGGCACGCTGGGAAGGTAGGCATGAGTAATGCTGTGTATTATTAAGCTGATTCATGTAAAAATGTAACTTGTGTTGTTTGTTATCCTACAGTTTTGGGCTATAATGCAGCGCCTGAAGATCTGAGGCAAACTTCACACAATGGTGCATTTCAGCTTATTAAAGCATGCCTAATACAATAAGTGTGTTGATTTGTATATTTAAATTATTGTAAGACAGGACTCTTGTCATTGTCACAATTTGTGTCCTGCTTTTTCTGCACTCTCATCTATCTTAAACCAAGACATTTTAGAGAAGTAAATCTATTCCTTGAACGTGAACACTTAAAATTTGTAAATACCATATGCTTTATGTAATAAAACAGACAAGTGAAACAATCACATTTTTTTTATTTCATAAAAACTATGTACAGTAAAATGCATGCACTAAAACACAGAGGACATTTAAAAGACATGTGAGAAGACACCAGAGGAATGATGGTTTATGTGGAAGGGTTGTGACAGAATTCAGAGTTGCTGTCATAGCTGAGGCACTTTCCACAGATCAAGCTCTGAATCAGCCACTCCAGAGAGACAACAGGCATGTCCGGGGCCATACGTTTCAGTTCCTCAGATGGACATGCAGATGCTGTCACTGCCAGGTCAAACTTCACATTTGGAATGTCTGTGAAAAATTTACATCACATGGTTTTTCTAATCACTTTATCACCAGTTATTTGTGCTAGCTCTATATGTTTTTCCATTGAACTAAGTGTACTATTACCCACCAGAAAGGTCTTCATTTACTTTATAGTGATGAACTTTTGCTGCATCACCCATGGAAAGCAAAGAGTTCCACAAATCCACACGATCTTCTGATATGAGCACCACCTTCAGAGCTTTGAAAGGATTACAGCGAGGATGCCTGAGGACAGAGAAAAAAAAAATTATTCATAAAAGAGAACTCAAGCTTGCAAGACTGTTCAGATAGGCAGTAAAAACAAATGTTCTGTTGTTTGTAGTCTGAATAGCAATCCAAATCAATTCCATATGTAATAATTATAATAATAATAATGCAGTTTTTGTAACAGCCTTATCACACTCAAAATTCTACAGTACAATATAAAAGTAAATATAAGTACTTATGTAAACATAAAACAAGTATAATAACAGCATAAGATTAATATGAATTTTTAATCATTTCATAAAACAGAGTTGGAGAATTTCTGAAATCAGTTTTTAGGCCTCTGGATGAAAGAGGAGCAGCGCAGCTGGATATTCTTGTGAAGGTAGCTTTGCTTTGTGTGAATTGATTTCAGAATTATTCCAAATGCAAGATTGTATTTATGGAAGCCCATTTCTGCCTCATGAAGGGGGAAAAAATTGGTTAATCAAAATGTATACAAAAAAAGTTGATTGACAAAATTTTCAAAAATTTTGAATTATGAATTCATTGTGAAAGTAAAAACTGAGCTACTAAGTGAAATGTCAATTGACAGTCATAATTATGCTATAAAATTATGAGAAGTCAGTTATGACTTTTGAAATTAGGAGATACTAAGTTAAAAAGTCTAAATTATGACAAGTGGAAATTGAGATAAAACTGTCAATGTCTGTCAATCATGGCAGTTGAAAGTGAGATACTAAGTAAAGTCAAAATTATGACACAAAAAGTCAAAATATGGTTTTTGTCATAAATATGATTTACAAAGTATTTTGATATGAAATGGGCTTCCATAAATACAATCTTGGATTTGGAATCATTTTAAAATCAAACCTTATGTCATAATAATTATAAGGTGTCAAACAAAAAGGTCAGCTTTTTATTTCAGTTTCAACATTTTTATCTCATGATTTACCAAAGTATGATTTTTTTATTTTATGTGTGTGTATTACTTGTCAGGGTTTTAGTCGTCAATCATTCCTGCTCTTCAAGATTCTTTCCAGTGTGCGTAACCACCAGATAAACTCTGACTTGGCACAGCTGCTGTTACGACTCGACTACAACAAATACTACACACAGGCAGGAGGCACGCTGGGAAGGTAGGCATGAGTAATGCTGTGTATTATTAAGCTGATTCATGTAAAAATGTAACTTGTGTTGTTTGTTATCCTACAGTTTTGGGCTATAATGCAGCGCCTGAAGATCTGAGGCAAACTTCACACAATGGTGCATTTCAGCTTATTAAAGCATGCCTAATACAATAAGTGTGTTGATTTGTATATTTAAATTATTGTAAGACAGGACTCTTGTCATTGTCACAATTTGTGTCCTGCTTTTTCTGCACTCTCATCTATCTTAAACCAAGACATTTTAGAGAAGTAAATCTATTCCTTGAACGTGAACACTTAAAATTTGTAAATACCATATGCTTTATGTAATAAAACAGACAAGTGAAACAATCACATTTTTTTTATTTCATAAAAACTATGTACAGTAAAATGCATGCACTAAAACACAGAGGACATTTAAAAGACATGTGAGAAGACACCAGAGGAATGATGGTTTATGTGGAAGGGTTGTGACAGAATTCAGAGTTGCTGTCATAGCTGAGGCACTTTCCACAGATCAAGCTCTGAATCAGCCACTCCAGAGAGACAACAGGCATGTCCGGGGCCATACGTTTCAGTTCCTCAGATGGACATGCAGATGCTGTCACTGCCAGGTCAAACTTCACATTTGGAATGTCTGTGAAAAATTTACATCACATGGTTTTTCTAATCACTTTATCACCAGTTATTTGTGCTAGCTCTATATGTTTTTCCATTGAACTAAGTGTACTATTACCCACCAGAAAGGTCTTCATTTACTTTATAGTGATGAACTTTTGCTGCATCACCCATGGAAAGCAAAGAGTTCCACAAATCCACACGATCTTCTGATATGAGCACCACCTTCAGAGCTTTGAAAGGATTACAGCGAGGATGCCTGAGGACAGAGAAAAAAAAAATTATTCATAAAAGAGAACTCAAGCTTGCAAGACTGTTCAGATAGGCAGTAAAAACAAATGTTCTGTTGTTTGTAGTCTGAATAGCAATCCAAATCAATTCCATATGTAATAATTATAATGCAGTTTTTGTAACAGCCTTATCACACTCAAAATTCTACAGTACAATATAAAAGTAAATATAAGTACTTACGTATGTAAACATAAAGCAAGTATAATGACAGCATAAGATTAATATGAATTTTTGGTTGTGACAGAATTCAGAGTTGCTGTCATAGCTGAGGCACTTTCCACAGATCAAGCTCTGAATCAGCCACTCCAGAGAGACAACAGGCATGTCCGGGGCCATACGTTTCAGTTCCTCAGATGGACATGCAGATGCTGTCACTGCCAGGTCAAACTTCACATTTGGAATGTCTGTGAAAAATTTACATCACATGGTTTTTCTAATCACTTTATCACCAGTTATTTGTGCTAGCTCTATATGTTTTTCCATTGAACTAAGTGTACTATTACCCACCAGAAAGGTCTTCATTTACTTTATAGTGATGAACTTTTGCTGCATCACCCATGGAAAGCAAAGAGTTCCACAAATCCACACGATCTTCCGATATGAGCACCACCTTCAGAGCTTTGAAAGGATTACAGCGAGGATGCCTGAGGACAGAGAAAAAAAAAATTATTCATAAAAGAGAACTCAAGCTTGCAAGACTGTTCAGATAGGCAGTAAAAACAAATGTTCTGTTGTTTGTAGTCTGAATAGCAATCCAAATCAATTCCATATGTAATAATTATAATAATAATAATGCAGTTTTTGTAACAGCCTTATCACACTCAAAATTCTACAGTACAATATAAAAGTAAATATAAGTACTTATGTAAACATAAAACAAGTATAATAACAGCATAAGATTAATATGAATTTTTAATCATTTCATAAAACAGAGTTGGAGAATTTCTGAAATCAGTTTTTAAATCTTCAGGAAGGTGGTTTATAATTTAATCAATCAGATTTTGGTAAATGCGATTTGATCTGAACAGTCAAATTAGATTAAGTATTTTTCTCTCAATATTTGAGACATGACCAGTCAAATGAAGTACTGTCTACAGCACTGTATGAATTCACTTATTTAAATCATTTAATAAATTACATTTATTGAAAGCAGTTAAAAAAAAAGTGTAAAACAGTACAGGGCTTCATTCAGCTCTGCCTCATGAAGGGGGAAAAAATTGGTTAATCAAAATGTATACAAAAAAAGTTGATTGACAAAATTTTCAAAAATTTTGAATTATGAATTCATTGTGAAAGTAAAAACTGAGCTACTAAGTGAAATGTCAATTGACAGTCATAATTATGCTATAAAATTATGAGAAGTCAGTTATGACTTTTGAAATTAGGAGATACTAAGTTAAAAAGTCTAAATTATGACAAGTGGAAATTGAGATAAAACTGTCAATGTCTGTCAATCATGGCAGTTGAAAGTGAGATACTAAGTAAAGTCAAAATTATGACACAAAAAGTCAAAATATGGTTTTTGTCATAAATATGATTTACAAAGTATTTTGATATGAAATGGGCTTCCATAAATACAATCTTGGATTTGGAATCATTTTAAAATCAAACCTTATGTCATAATAATTATAAGGTGTCAAACAAAAAGGTCAGCTTTTTATTTCAGTTTCAACATTTTTATCTCATGATTTACCAAAGTATGATTTTTTTATTTTATGTGTGTGTATTACTTGTCAGGGTTTTAGTCGTCAATCATTCCTGCTCTTCAAGATTCTTTCCAGTGTGCGTAACCACCAGATAAACTCTGACTTGGCACAGCTGCTGTTACGACTCGACTACAACAAATACTACACACAGGCAGGAGGCACGCTGGGAAGGTAGGCATGAGTAATGCTGTGTATTATTAAGCTGATTCATGTAAAAATGTAACTTGTGTTGTTTGTTATCCTACAGTTTTGGGCTATAATGCAGCGCCTGAAGATCTGAGGCAAACTTCACACAATGGTGCATTTCAGCTTATTAAAGCATGCCTAATACAATAAGTGTGTTGATTTGTATATTTAAATTATTGTAAGACAGGACTCTTGTCATTGTCACAATTTGTGTCCTGCTTTTTCTGCACTCTCATCTATCTTAAACCAAGACATTTTAGAGAAGTAAATCTATTCCTTGAACGTGAACACTTAAAATTTGTAAATACCATATGCTTTATGTAATAAAACAGACAAGTGAAACAATCACATTTTTTTTATTTCATAAAAACTATGTACAGTAAAATGCATGCACTAAAACACAGAGGACATTTAAAAGACATGTGAGAAGACACCAGAGGAATGATGGTTTATGTGGAAGGGTTGTGACAGAATTCAGAGTTGCTGTCATAGCTGAGGCACTTTCCACAGATCAAGCTCTGAATCAGCCACTCCAGAGAGACAACAGGCATGTCCGGGGCCATACGTTTCAGTTCCTCAGATGGACATGCAGATGCTGTCACTGCCAGGTCAAACTTCACATTTGGAATGTCTGTGAAAAATTTACATCACATGGTTTTTCTAATCACTTTATCACCAGTTATTTGTGCTAGCTCTATATGTTTTTCCATTGAACTAAGTGTACTATTACCCACCAGAAAGGTCTTCATTTACTTTATAGTGATGAACTTTTGCTGCATCACCCATGGAAAGCAAAGAGTTCCACAAATCCACACGATCTTCTGATATGAGCACCACCTTCAGAGCTTTGAAAGGATTACAGCGAGGATGCCTGAGGACAGAGAAAAAAAAAATTATTCATAAAAGAGAACTCAAGCTTGCAAGACTGTTCAGATAGGCAGTAAAAACAAATGTTCTGTTGTTTGTAGTCTGAATAGCAATCCAAATCAATTCCATATGTAATAATTATAATAATAATAATGCAGTTTTTGTAACAGCCTTATCACACTCAAAATTCTACAGTACAATATAAAAGTAAATATAAGTACTTATGTAAACATAAAACAAGTATAATAACAGCATAAGATTAATATGAATTTTTAATCATTTCATAAAACAGAGTTGGAGAATTTCTGAAATCAGTTTTTAAATCTTCAGGAAGGTGGTTTATAATTTAATCAATCAGATTTTGGTAAATGCGATTTGATCTGAACAGTCAAATTAGATTAAGTATTTTTCTCTCAATATTTGAGACATGACCAGTCAAATGAAGTACTGTCTACAGCACTGTATGAATTCACTTATTTAAATCATTTAATAAATTACATTTATTGAAAGCAGTTAAAAAAAAAGTGTAAAACAGTACAGGGCTTCATTCAGCTCTGAAAATATTCAGTTCTTTTTCTAACTTCGCTCGGTGTTTCACTATGGGAATCGCTTTGGGCGTGACCAACTGCGGAAGCTCCTATGACACCACGCCAGCCAAAGTCATTCGCGCTTTCTTCCCATGGGAGACTGCAGCAAGCTCTCTCAGCACATCCTAACTGCTGATTTCGCTAAACTGTTCAACAGACAGCCCGTCATTGGACTCCATCACCGAACGCGAGGTTAGTTGGACGGTATTGTGTTGAGTGATATCCCAACAATTAGAATAGTGTCTGCATCAAGGCGAGCTATTCTAATCGGCCTACTGCGTATTCAATTACTGCGGTAAGTGACGTTAAGTCAACTAGAGGTTTAATGCTTCAAGGCAAGACTTCAGAAGGTTTAGTTACCTTAGACCAGCAGTCTAACGTGTTGTGACGAGTCAGAGTTGTATCACTTCTCAGCCATTATGTCGATGGCCATCACCCCTGCCAAAGGGAATGAGTCGAAGTTCAGGGAGGTTGCATCCCGCCCGTGTCCACCCCCAGCTACCAACTCGGGCAGGGACCCTCACCCCATGTGTATCGTGTGTATGGGTCCGAAGCACACTCAAAGATCGCTGGCGGATCCACAAGCATGTGCTCACTGTGCGTTATTGCAGTTGAAAATCTTAAAAAGGAGTGGCAGTGGCTAACAAGCAGGACCCTTGTCTATCTATCAGGAATGGCCACATAATCTGCGGTAACTGACCATCTGACGCGAGCCAGTATGAGCTGGGCAAACATGGAAGCCGAATCCCCAGATATGCCTCTGATGTTTGAGGGACTGCTCACGCAGGAGGAGGGTGATCAGGGGGACGAGGATGCAGAGGGCAATGCTAACTCTGATCTCCTTGATTTGGACATGGACGACGAAGAGGAGGAGGAAGACAACTCCCTCTTCCCTGTCCAATAGTCTAGGCCTACGAGCACGAATGACTTGGCCTTGCAAGTAGACCATAACTGGGCCTAGCTTGGCCCGCGGCCAAGGATGCCGAAGGAGCTGAGAGGGACCTTAATGATGGAAACAGTTTGCCTCCTGCTCAGCCTGCAGCAAGACAACTCCTGCCTGCAGTGACTGCTTGCATGAAGGAAATGTCCCGCTACTGCTCTGGCACCTTTAAGAGCAAGCTCCCTACTAAGGCGTGTTCCATGTTGGAGATTCAAGGGATGGGGAAGCTGGGGTTGGCCGAACCTCAAGCAGTAGAGTTTTCAGTGGCCTATCACCTCCATCCGAAACGGCGCTCTATTTCTGCCTAATCTCAGATTTCGCTGCCGAGTAAAATGGAGCAACTGACCTCGTCGATATATCAGAGGATGTATAAATACGCGGGGCAGTCCGTGTGCTCGCTGAACACAGTGACTTTACTGTCAGCGTATCAAGAGGATATTTTGAAGGAGATGGGGTGGCAGCTGGACTCAGGGGTGCCGAACCTGGCACTCTGGGACGAAATGTGCGTGGTGAACGATCTGATTCTGTGCTCTTCCCGCGGCGCAGTTCAGGGCTGTGGCCACGAGATGTGCTTGGCTGTGTCAGGTGAGAGAGCGTTATGGCTAAATCTGTCAGGCATGGGCGACGCGCAGAAGTCGGAGGTAATGGATGCTGCATACGATCTTACTGTTTGGCCCAGCCCTCGAGAAAATGAGGGAAACCAGCACCCTCAGGAAACAAGAGGTTTATGCTTGCCGCATAAGCAAGCTCCACGACCAACCTCTCAACTGCCACGACAGGGCTTTGAAGGAGCCGCGGCAGCGAGAGTGAGACCAGTAGGCGCTAGGGCTCAAAGACCAGCTCACAGCAGGCAGCAAGCTGGCCAACGCTCACGACCGGATGGCTCTGGGCCTTGGGGAAAGCATTTTTTTGCAGCTGTGGTGGCTAAAAACCGTCCGTCCCACCCCATGGAAAGGAAGAAGCGTGCGACCTGACACGCAGGTATTCCCCAGCCCTTCTCTCTCCACCCACAAAGAGGAGGTGGGAATACAGCCCTCTAGTTCTGAGTTCAGTAAAGGCCCGTTAGGTAAGCTCTTCTCAAAGTCAGAGAGACGAGGGAGCTCAGAGTCATGTTCAACAGTGTCACCAAGCACTCACACAGTGTTTTCAAACACTTTTCAGTTTGGGGAAATTGAAAATAAAGAATGCATCATCGCATCCAAGCCACAGGCTGAGGGCGATATGCTCCCCAAGAAAACACATTAATAAATGTTGCACTATTGCAGCCAGGCAAGCAGCCAAGGGCGATATTCCCCAGAGACAAAATTCAAAGATATGAGAAGCATTCCCCTAGTCTCACCGCTGGAGGGAGCACTCGCGCCTTCAGTGGGAGCCAGTGCGGCGGCAGTGATGACGTCATCACTGTGCGTTGCAGCTGGGCGGAAGTGTTCGGAGGACTTCTCTCTGCCCGAATAGCCATTTGGCGCTATCCCGTGGGTTATGTCAATGATTTCACAGGGGTACAGACTTCAATTCAAGACAAAATTCAAAGATATGTGAAGCGCTCCCCTAGTCTCACCGCTGGAGGGAGCGCTCGTTCCTTCAGTGGAAGCCAGTGAGGCGGCAGTGATGACGTCATCACTGTGCGTTGCAGCTGGGCGGAAGTGTTCGGAGGACTTCTTTCTGCCCGAATAGCCATTTGGCGCTAACCCGTGGGTTATGTCAACGATTTCACAGGTGTACAGACTTCAGTTTGCAATGAAACCACCTCAATTCAATGAGGTGATTGTGTCAGTAGCCGAGGGAGAATCGGCTCATGTCCTGACGGCCGAAATAGAAACTCTTTTAAACAAACGGGCAATCAGAGTGGTGCCCAAGGAGGAGAGCTGTCAGGGCTTGCTTTTATTCCCGTTATTTTGTAATTTCAAAGAAATTCGTCCAATTCTGGACCTTCGTGTGTTAAACAAACACCTACGAAAGTTTTCATTCAGAATGTTAACACACGAAGCACCTATAGACTCCCTCTCTTATCGAGTCACACTGACAGAGGGGAGAATTGCATCTTTCACACAATATATCGCCCACTTTCAGATGGGGAAAGTGGTACCGTATAGACTGTGCTTACGAATGCTGGGTCTAATGGCTTCAGTGATTTCTGTAGTACATTTGGGGCTGCTCAAAATGAGGAATTTTCAGTGCTGGATCTGTGCTTTCGACGGCATCTCAGCCGGCAGGTGAGAATTACACATGCGTGTGTCAGAGCGCTCAGGAATTGGAAAAGAACGGGCATTCCCTTGGGGGTGGTGTCATCGAGAGTCACTATGACGATGGACGCATCCTTAAAGGGCAGGTGAGTGACTCTAATGGGCAGAGCTGTGAATGGTGTGTGGCCTCCGCAGCTGACTCACAAACATATAAATTATTTAGAGTTGCTAGCAGTGTGGTTAGTGCCGAAACATTTTCTGAGCTTCATCAAAGTGCAGCATGTGTTAGTGAAAACAGACAATTCCACAGTGGTTGCTTACATCAATCGACAGGGGGGCACGTGCTCCCTTCAACTGCATCAGTTGGCAAAGAGGCTGATCATGTGGAGCGACAAGGCTTTTATCCCTCAGGGCAACTCACTTTCCAGGGATTTTAAACAGAGGGGCAGATCTACTGTCCAGAGGAAACTCCCTGTATGGGAAGTGGAAACTCCATCCCCAGGTGGTGAACGAGATATGGTAGAGGTACGGTCAGACAGCCGTAGATCTCTTATCCTCACAAGAAAACGCTCAATGTCCTCTGTATTTCTCTCTAGTGGACGAAAATGCCCCAACTCAGTGTGGATGCTCTAGCCCACCCATGGCCAGACATCCTGCTTTATACATTCCCTGCTCTGAGCTTAATTTCCCCCACTCTAGCCAAAGTGAGAGAACATGGTCTTTCATTAATACTGATAGCTCCACGCTGGCCATCCAGACATTGGGTGGCCAAGATAGTTCAACTGCTGTCAGGCCAGGCGTGGCCCCTCCCTCCATGGAGGGATCTCCTGTCTCAGGCGGCGGTGGGGGACATTTACCACCCTCACCCAGACAAGATAGATGTCTGGGCTTGGCCCGTAAGAGGTGGAATTTGAATGCAGCAGGTCTGCCTCCATCGGTCATACATACTATACAGAGTGCAAGAGCCTCCTCTACTTGCTCACTTTATAGCAATAAATGGCCAGTCTTTGAAGAATGGTGTGAGCAGGGTCATATTGTCCCTTTTCAATGCTAAGTGAGGGATATTTTATGCTTTCTTCAAGATCTTCTAGATAAGGGGAAGGCTTTCTCCACCATTAAGGTGTATCAAGCAATTTCAGCTTGTCATGTAGGTTTTGTCGAGAAATCGGTAGGCCAGCACTCTTTGATAAGTCGTTTTATGCAATGGGTGTTGAATTCATTAATGGCGCTTTTCCACTGCATGGTACGGCATGGTACGGCTCAGGTTCACTTTTGGGGGGTTTTCCACTGTGTACAGTACCTGGTACTTTTTTTAGTACCACTTCGATTGGCCTCCTCTACTTGCTCACTTTATAGCAATAAATGGCCAGTCTTTGAAGAATGGTGTGAGCAGGGTCATATTGTCCCTTTTCAATGCTCAGTGAGGGATATTTTATGCTTTCTTCAAGATCTTCTAGATAAGGGGAAGGCTTTCTCCACCATTAAGGTGTATCAAGCAATTTCAGCTTGTCATGTAGGTTTTGTCGAGAAATCGGTAGGCCAACACCCTTTGATAAGTCGTTTTATGCAATGGGTGTTGAATTCATTAATGGCGCTTTTCCACTGCATGGTACGGCACGGTACGGCTCATTGCTCACTTTATAGCAATAAATGGCCAGTCTTTGAAGAATGGTGTGAGCAGGGTCATATTGTCCCTTTTCAATGCTCAGTGAGGGATATTTTATGCTTTCTTCAAGATCTTCTAGATAAGGGGAAGGCTTTCTCCACCATTAAGGTGTATCAAGCAATTTCAGCTTGTCATGTAGGTTTTGTCGAGAAATCGGTAGGCCAACACCCTTTGATAAGTCGTTTTATGCAATGGGTGTTGAATTCATTAATGGCGCTTTTCCACTGCATGGTACGGCACGGTACGGCTCAGGTTCACTTTTGGGGGGTTTTCCACTGGGTACAGTACCTGGTACTTTTTTTAGTACCACTTCGATTGGGGTTCCAAGTGAACCATATCGTTACCAAAACGTGACGTGTAAACTCTGCTGATCCCGGATTGGCCGGAGAGAATCGTCACTACCTGCGTCACTGAACTTGCGACACAAACACAAAAGAACCACTAGATTTAAATCAGCACAGCCAGCAAAGGATCGAACGCAACTGTTTTGAACGAGCGCACCTTTTTTTTAACAACCAAAAAGTTTTATTGTCTGTTGCGGAAGTACAGACGTTCCTCTCGTTGATAGCAGAGGAGCGGATGGGGCGATGCAGAATGAAAAAGTTTTTTTAAGGAGTCGTGGTAGTAGAGGCGGTGCAACTATAATGACATGTGAATAATCCCGCCCACTGTAAAGCGGTACTGAACTGCAGTGGAAACGCAAACCATGCCGAGCCGAACCATGCCGTACTGAGCCGTACCGAACTGAGACGTACCACGCAGTGGAAAAGCGCCATATGTCAGGTACGGGCTCTTCATATGTATGTGAGGAGAACAGCAGGCTTTAGGACTCATGACCAGCTGTGTGTGTCGTGGGCTACTCCTCACAAAGGGAAGCCGTTGTCTCGTCAACGGCTGTCGCATTGGATCAAAGATGCTATATCTTTAGCTTATATCTGCAAGGGAATTCAACCGCCTAAGGGCTTGAGAGCCCACTCCACTCGGGGGATGGCTACATCATGTGCCTTACTCAGGGGAGTTTCTGTTCAAGATATTTGTTCAGCAGCAAGTTGGGCTACGCCACACACTTTTGTGCGGTTTTACATACTGGACGTGTCTGAGCCATCATTAGCACACGCAGTGCTGGGAGCCGGCAGGTTGGTGCCCATTTAATTGTTTTGTTGGATAGCAGTGATATGGGTGCGATCCGGGAGTGGTCTATATCTCCCATAGTGAAACACAGAGCGAAGTTAGAAAAAGAACAATGGGTTACTTAACGTAAACCCGGGTTCTTTGGTAACAGAGTGAGGTGTTTCACCAGCACTTCCCTTCTTGCACAGGTACGGGAAGAAATTGCTCTATAATGACTTTGGCAGGGGTCGACCTGACTGATATAGGTGGGGCGGAGCCAGGTCACAGGTCGACCTGTCTGTCAAAGACAGACGTGGTGTCATAGAAGCTTCCGCAGTTGGTCACACCCAAAGTGATTCCCATAGTGAAACACCTCACTCTGTTATCAAAGAGCCCGGGTTTACGTTAAGTAACCCATCGTTTTTCAGTACTCTCTTTCCACTATCACATTTACTCTCTTAAGTCTCCTGGCATCACACAGAGGCTGAACTCATTACTACAGCACCTAGTGTAGATATACTGGATGTTTACTACATACAAATGGATTGCTTGCCGATGGTCAGTCGTAAGGACTGGATCTGACTCTTTTTCTTTTTTAATATTAGATGAGAAAATTAGTCATGTCAAAACGAGAAGTTCTTACCACTCCACAATGCGTCCCTCTGGCCCCAGACCGGCAGGAAGTAGGTAGTTCCTGTAGTTGAGCAGCTTCTTCTCCTGGCAGCAATCCCTCACCCATATCTGAGACACGCAGGGAACTCCACCTGCCACACACAGCAGGTACTTCCTGGTCCGGCAATGCTGGTCGGCGATCAGCAAGCTCTGATAGGCTGCTTTACACTGACGATGCAGAAAACACACATACATAAAACATGCGCACACAGCAAAAAGTATGCTGTGCAACTCGAGTCGTGCTGATCACCTGAAGCAGCTTCTTCTCCTGGCAGCAATCCCTCACCCATATCTGAGACACGCAGGGAACTCCACCTGCCACACACAGCAGGTACTTCCTGGTCCGGCAATGCTGGTCGGCGATCAGCAAGCTCTGATAGGCTGCTTTACACTGACGATGCAGAAAACACACATACATAAAACATGCGCACACAGCAAAAAGTATGCTGTGCAACTCGAGTCGTGCTGAATATAAGCTCACCTGTTCCTCATTAAAGTCAAGCAGGATCATTCCTCCACCTGCCTCTAGCTGTCTCTCTGTATAGTGTTTGTTGTATGGCGCTCTCTGAACATACTCTAACGAGAGAGAAATAGTGTTTTAAAAGTCACATACAAACACACACTTCCAAGTCTTTCCATGGGTGTAATTATTTATACTTTTTAGAGAGAGAAAAAAAAAAAAGGAAAAATAATTGCTCAAAATTACTACGATTTGTTTTATCTGTCCTGTATTTTAATACATTTTAAAATGTAATTTATTCCTGTGATGCAAAGCTGAATTTTATTACTCCAGTCTTCAGTGTCATATGATTCTTTAGAAATCATTCAAATATGCTGATTTCATGCTCAAAAAAGATTTCTTATTATTAATGTTAAAAACTGTTGCTTAACATTTTTGTGAAAACATTTTTTTCAGGACTCTTTGAAGACTAGAAAATTCAAAAGAACAGCATTTATTTGAAATGTAAATCTTTTGCAACATTATAAATGTCTTTACCGTCACTTTTTATCAATTAAATGTATCCTTGCTAAATAAGAGTATTACTAAATAATTACGCAATTTTTTTCACATTCCACAAAACATAATAAACAGCAATTTAGCTGCCTTAAAATCATTGCTTCAAATGATGCAGTGTTTATTTGTTCTACCCCTTACCATCATCCTCATCACTGGGCTGGTCGTTGGAGTCTCTGTCGCTTTCTGAGGATGCCGTGAGCATGAAGACAAACCCCATAAAGAGAGAGGAGTTTTCCGGCAAAGGTCCATGTGTTGCCACCAGGTCATTAGGGTCAGGGGGCAGGTCTGCTCCGCTCCCAGATGTGTTACAAGCAGCGATACGCTGTCCTGTTCAAATGAAACAAAAAGATAATAAGTATGGCATAACAATTGATTCAAAACGCTATTTTGAATCAAAGACTGGTTGTGTACCAAAGAGCCCATAAAGTATAATGAACTGTGAGGAATTAAACACAGGCACCACTCCCATCTACCCTGTTGAGTGCTCACCCACACAAAAGAAAAAGCATGTTATGCCACATACCAGTTGCTGTTTAGAGCTGGAGAGCTGCACTGCATTTAGTTGTATCAAAAGCAGTATTTATTCACAACTTCAGGTGGTTTATCAGATGTCTTATATTGTAAAATTAGACACTTACATACAACAATGGAAGCACTGGGGAGAAAGGCACTCATTTGGTTTATCATTCTGAGTTCATTTTAAAATACACATACAGATAAACGTAAAACAATTTCATAGCCACTAAAATGAATAAAATGTTGTTAAAAACCCAGAACAATAAAAGACCAAATTATTCAATAAAATCAGGCATACGATAAAACATTATTCTAAAATTGAGCAAATGCTTTGGTCCAGTTGTTGAATTAATATAGTCTGTCAGCAAGGGGCACCGTACCCACTCTGGCCCCTCCCCCCCTGCGTCCTCTCTTTGCAGGAGTCCTCTCATCCTCCGCACCACTGATGAGCTTTCGTTTCCCAGAAGGCCCTGGGTTTCTTGGGCTGTTGCTGGAGCTGCGTGTAGGGGTCCCTGCTCCACTGGAGTTTCCTCGGCGTCTCCGCTTTCCTTCTACCAGGTTATCTGAGGACAAAATAACACCGTGATGCCAACTGCGACAAAAACTGCCATTTCAACTTGTGACACAAAGAAGGCTAGTTAGCCTCTGCTGGTAGATTCTTTACACCATTAAAGAAATATTTTACCCAAAAATTTAAATTCTGTCATTATTTACTCTCATGTTGTTCCAAACCCGTAAGACCTTCATTCATCTTCAGAACACAAATTAAGGAATTTTTTATTAAATCCGAGAGCTGCGCTGAAAACTGTGTTACTCATCAGTTGCTCAGTAACATTTTTATGAATTTTTTTAATAAAAAGTCAATAATAATTATAATAATAATTACAACTATATTAATACATTTATTAAAACATTCACACATAGTGTTCAAATTGGGATATGTAATATTTTCTAATGTTTTAAAATAATTATCTTCTGCTCAGCAAGGCTGCATTTATTTGTACAGTAAAAAATACATAACTGATTGAAGAAGGTGGTCTCAAAAATGGCCAAAAAATATTATTTTACTATAATATAAAGTAGGGCTGGACAATAATTCAATATCAATATGTATCGCAATATAATTTTTTTCAATAACGGTGATATGATTTTTAAACACATTTCCGATATTTCGTATTTGACAGTGATTTCACATTTCTTGTTTGTATGAAGGCTAAATACCAATAAAAGGTTAACATTTATTTATTTGCGCCATTTTTTCCCTAAAATATTATATAGTTTTATAGGAGTAGGTTTCGTAGAATTAGCAAATTAATTTTTCACAAGTTTGTAGGTACAGACATCTGTTGTGGCCATTCTTGGCTGTTTTTATGAGGCTTTTTTAATAGCGTTCACATCGATATCGGAATTATATCGTATCGACCGAAATTAAGAAATATATCGTGATATAAATTTTGGCCATATCATCCAGCCCTAATATAAAGTCATTATTTTTGTTTTCTCTTTGCACAAAAAGTATTCTTTCAGCTTCATACGGACTTGAATGAAGTGTCACACGGACTTTTTTAACGATGTCCTTACTAACTCTTGGAAACTCAGATTTCATCAAAAATATCTTAATTTGTGTTCTGAAGATGAACAAAGGTTTTACGGGTTTGGAACGACATGAGGGTGAGTAATTAATGATTGGGTGAACACATTTTTGGGTGAACTATCCCTTTAAGTTAAAAAGCAGAGGCCATTAACATTCTAATGAAATCCAAATTTGTGCAAGCATCATGTAAATTTCAAGTATTTCATTTTATTATAGATGTTTGTTTCCATAGTTAGCCTGGATCCAGAACTTGTTTCCACTTTCACAGGTTCAAACATGCCAGTTGAAGACTCACCAAGGCTGACATCAGAGGCCATGGTTTGGGGTGTAGATGGTTCATAGGGTCCCAGTCCATACTGCTCCCTCAGGCGGTTGCCTTGCTCCATGCTGAGAATCACAGACGTTCTGCTGTACCAATTACTCTGACCATCTTTCTCCACACAGTAAAGAAACTCAGAGCCTTGAGTCTTATGACCCTTCACCACACCTGAACGCCAGAGACAAAGAATCAGTATAGCTTTTTCCCCACATTATAGTTTTTTTCCCCTAAATATAATGGATTACTTGTTTAAATGTTCCTTACCCATTTATTTTTTATTATTTTCTGCATTTTGACACAAAATAACTAAATAATCATTAGACCATAATGCTAAAAACATCATATGGATAATGCACGTTTTCAAAAGATAGAAGTAGACAAAGGTACATAGAACAACAGACAGACAGATACATATAAAGATGGGCAAAGGTGGACTAAACAACAGGCAGACAGACAAAGATACATAGAATGACAGAAAGATATACAGACAAAGACAGATAAAATGACAAATAAAGAACAGACAGGAAAAACAGACAAACATAGAATGACAGACAGACAGAAAGGTACACAAAAAACAGAAAGACAGACAGCAAGATATATAGACAAGAGACAGGCTGACATAAAGAAAAAAGATGCATACACAAAAGCCAGAGACATATATAAACAAAGATAGAATAACAGACAGACAGACATACAGAAATAATGATATATAGACAGGCAGACAGACAGGTAATGGTTCTGTAATGTAACGATTCACTCAACTCACAATGCAATACGATTCACAATACTGATTACATGATACAATTTATTTTAGATGCATACACAAAAGCCAGAGACATATATAAACAAAGATAGAATAACAGACAGACAGACAGAAATAATGATATATAGACAGGCAGACAGACAGGTAATGGTTCTGTAATGTAACGATTCACTCAACTCACAATGCAATACGATTCACAATACTGATTACATGATACAATTTATTTTATTTTTTTTACCAAAATGAGATTTATGACAAATTATAAATGAAAAGGTGCCCTTCTTATTGCTTGGACAAAAGCTGCACATTTCATTGTGAAACTGATATATGTTAAATAACACAAGTAAATTGAAATTTTAAAACAAACCCCAAATCAATCAATAAATAAATAAACTCAAATAAAAGAAATCTCTTCGGATAAACAAGCTAAGGTTTTACCAGTGCTCTTTCCATTTAAATGTATAGGCAACCACTGTATTTTAATCACAATCCCAACAAAGATGCTGCATACATGCAACATGAGCAGTTTTTAATCTAAATTAGATTGTATCATTTCAAAATGATACATTTCTGAATTCAGTCATGTGAAATTAAACTCCCACCCCCAACCGTACATCTCAACCGATTTAAATCATCACATATTTGTATTGATTTTCAGATGGCTCAGTGTGCATCGTTATATCCCTAGTAATGTTTTTTTGGTCCTGCTTACCTATATTAAAGTACTCCTCCTCGGTTAAGGCAGTGACTTCCGTCTCTACAGGAATGGGGTCACAGAGCAAGATGTCTTTTCCTTGTACTTCACACTCCTGGTTGTCATCGAACAGAAGGCGGAAATGGTTCTCTCCCAGGTCTCGAGTGATACTCCCAGAATAGAAATACGAGTTGGATGACCACTTGGCCAGCACACGCAACCCAACAAAACTGCTGGACCCAGCGCTGTTATCTGGGGAGGTGGTGTTGAGAGATTCAGAGCGGCTTGTAGCACTGGGCTCTACTGGGCTGCCCGGTGCTTGGACATGCCTTTGGGCAAAGTGCTCCTCTTCTGAGGATGATGCACCCTGGCCATGGGCACCACCTCTCAGTCCGGTTCTGCCACCTCTGAGAGTCAGTATTAGCAGGTGATGGAGAGAGAATAAAAACAAAAAAAGTGACACAATGAGCATCACAACACCCATTAATAATGGAAACAGAGAGCTCATCCATGTGCTACAAAGGGAAGTGTTTGAGTTAATACTAATGACTAAGTCATACTTGGGGGAAAAAAGGAACAAGGGTCATGCAAGATGATTAAAAACAGTGGCTATAAACTAGTGTCTAATACAAAGAGCGTCTTGGACCCTGCCAGCCTATCCAAGAGCACCTCACCTGGACAGCGGGCTGCGGGAAGGAGGCCTTCCCCGCCGGGCACGGCCACGGGGGCTCAGCTGGGTGGTGACCCGAGACCCCCGTGCATCCGTCACCTCTGACCCCACCACCACAGTGTGACTCCTCGGCTGCTGCCGTCCCCCCCGCCTGGGGTTCAAACACACACACGGAGAGGATGCGCTCAGCTGAAACGCCCTCGACCAAATGTGTATGGGAGCAGCAGCCATGAGAAGATACTAAAACCATACCGTGTCCAATAACAAGAAGGTGAGAACATGCTCTAATTAAACGTATTGACAATAACATCCACACAAGACTTTCTACAGAACAGCGCCTACTTCCCTACAACCAAGACTCATGTGTTAACTGCAGAGTGTTAGTAATGGAAAGAGAGACAGGAAGACTTCTCACCGGCCAGACTTGGCCCCTCGGCTGGGGGGCATTAGAAAATCTGGCATTCTGATGGGACCCAGGCCCGTGCTGCTTGTCCCACTGGAGCTGTGGTGTGATGGGGCCTTCGAGGAGAGTGAACTGACATCAGCCAGGTCTCCTGATGTCATGGAGCTTCCTGTGCGGGAGGGTGAGATGTCATTGTCTACGATGCAGCGATCCACCACGGGTTCCTCTGATTCCTTAGAGAAAAGATACAGCAGAGGTTTGATTATCAGTTTAATCTGTCCTTAAAACCATTGCAGGTGCACCGTCATATTTTCCATAATATTTTCCACATTAAAAACATTTACACCTAAGGAAATAAATGGCACTTCTAAAATACATTTAAAGTCATATCCCAGCCATATCATTGTAAAATAAACATTGTAAATGACCTATAAAAGTAAGGATAACCTCCAACTTGTCTTAAATCCCCAAAAGTTAAATGAAATCATTGGGATGTTGCGCCAAAGCCTGACATTTTCTTCACGAGGAGAAAAAAATAGACAGTTTAAAGAAAATATATGAGAATATTTCAAGAATTGCACTTAGAAACATTCTTACTAACTTCTTACAATTTATGTGAATCCGGCACCTGGTCGCCTCATGGGGCCAGACAAATACTATCTAGCAGTGTTGGGGAAAGTTACATTTAAAAGAAATACATTACAATATTGTGTTACTCTCTGAAAAAATAATTACATTAGTTACTTTTTAAGGAAAGTAATGTCATGTTACTTTTGCTTTACTTTTTTAAAACCTTGGCTGGGTTTGCTTGTTTTTAATATAAGAAACTTCTGTTTTTGGCAAATGTAAAAAGCCCTTTAACAACAAAAATTTAATGAATATCAAGCCTCATGCAGAGATGACTAATGAATAAGCCTCAGCATGTCCACATTTAGTCTAGAACAACAGTAACCATCATGTTTACGCAATCCACACAATACATCTGCACTTTCTCCTGATTTCTCTCAACATGGGGACAGGAGAGCTGTCAGTCAATAAATGGGAAAACAAAAGTAACTGGTGTTAATTATTTTTGTAATTCATTTATGTAATTCTTACATGGGTAACCTTGCGGTCAACCTCTCTGCCATCTTCATAGTAGACATCTGTAATGATGCGAGTGACCGTTGTTCGGACTTCCTGGATGGTGCGAACATGTTTGCGCAATGATGGGCCTGGATGGGTTCTGGTTGGTGTACTTGGTTCTCCCTTTAAGAGTAAGATAAAACTTGAAGATACATCTAAAAGGTTACAGCCCTTTATATTTAATCATTCTAAATAACTTCTTGCAATCTATGACATGGTGCAGGATTTTTCCTCGTTCTTTGTAATTGCTAACATATTTACAAAAAGTAATGTCATTATGAACATTTATTGAAATCTTTTACCCTTCCAGACAGGTTATGTGGTCCAGACAGATCAAAACTAGTCTGCTGAGACACAGCTCTCTGACAAACCAAAAGAGACAAAAAGAAAAATATATAACATGTGGCACCTGTTAAGGCACTTTTATCATTAAATGTATCCTAAATAACCAACACTTGCTTACTTTGCTGGGTGGGCTGGTGGTCGAGCTGATATCCACACTAGTTTGCTGTGACACGGCTCTCTGTCGGACAGGTGTTCGAGGTTTGTCAGAAATGCTGAGAACCTCTTGTTCTTTGGCAGGGGAGGGCAGACCACTGACCAGAGGTTCAGAGTTTGCTCCCGCACCAGCAGGATGCAGAGGTACAGCTTCAGTGACTCGGCCTGAGGCTCTGCTGTCCACTGTTTCTTTTGGGCATTTGAGAGACAGCCCTGAGTAATTAGTGTTGGGGGACCTGAACAGCTGGCTTGCTTGCCTGTTGGAGAAGTGGAGAGACAAACACATACAGGCAGAATTTTAGAAAGACTACAGAGTACATTTGTTTAGTACAGTGCACATGACCTTGCTTAATAACTTTGTTCCACTTATTATTGACTTGTGAAGCCACTTGCACACGATAATAGGGTTGCAGGATTTAAAGACAAAAATCTAATGGTGGTTTTTCTGATAAAATGTGACTTAAAAAAAAGTGGTGGTTTGCTTTGGAGGGACTGCACAATTTGGCCCAAATTTTTGTGATTTATGGCTGTTTTAATTTCTTCATTTTTAAAGGGGTCATATGATGCGATTTCAATTTGTACTTTCTCTTTGGAGTGTTACAAGCTCTTGGTGCATAAAGAAGATCTGTAAAGTTGCAAAGACTTAAGTCTCAAATCCAAAGAGATATTCTTTATAAAAGTTAAGAGTCAACCATGCCTACCTAAAACGGCTCGTTCTAACACGCCCCCACATATCTACATCACGATGTGGGAAGATTTGCATAACGCCGCCCAACTGTTCACACAAAGAAAGGAGGCGCAACTTTTATTCTCACTGTTGCCGCCGCCGCCATGTTGTGGAGATGCTGTGTGTTTCGGTATGAAAGCGAAACTACTTTGTTTGGCCTTCCTAAAGAGGACACAACTAGAAATCAGTGGTTAAGTTGTATTTACAACACTGTTCCAGAACAGTTCAACCCAAATATCCAGATGTGTGCAGCGCATTTTACGGAGGACGAGGACTGTTTCCTGTTAGAGTAGCCTACAATGCCGGTGTCGGTTTCTATAAAGTGGGGCAATTCCAACTTTGCAAGGACAGTCTAGCGCTTCTGACTCACAGTCTGTAAGTACATTTTCATATGTAAAGGATTTGCCACTGACGATTCAAACGCGAGCTTTGAGCAGTGTAGAGTAGCGCTTGTTGTTTGTCGTTTCTCCAATCACAAATGCAGACATGGTTTTATGTTCACGCAACGCGATACACAACGCGTAAAAATACAGTATAAGTCATTATAATCAGTAATTATGTCCCCACTGGATGCAACAAATGCCTCGTTTTTAATGGGTTTTATTGTTTTTGTCTTGTCTCGCTGGGACATGGCATCACAGTATGGTAAGGGTGTAACATTTCTGTCACACGCTTGAGGAATTCGGCCAATCACAATGCACTGGATAGCTGGCCAATCAGAGCACACCTCGCTTTTCAGACCGATGAGCTTTGTAAAAATCGACGCGTTTCAGAAAGGCGGGGCATAGAGGAGCAACAATAATGTATATTATGTGGAAAATAATGTGTTTTTGAACCTTAAACCGCATACATGCAACACATTGCATTACACCAAATACACAAAATAACGTTCTTTTTAGCAACTTCATATGACCCTTTTAAACATTAAACATCGTTGATAGCCTCATGGGCAGTGTGCCAACATATAGTGCCATTGCACTTCGGGTGTCCCGAGTTCAAGTCCCGGCTCGTGGACCTTTTCCAATCACGTCCCCTTCTCTCTCCCACGTTGCTGTCAAAAACGTACTGTCCTATCAAAATTTTTTTTTTAAAGTAAACGTCAAGCTTTACAAGTTTGTGAAGATTTTGTTTTATTTTATAAGCAACCCAAACTTTGAAATGAGTTTGTGCGGAGCAGCATTTATTGTGAACCAATCCGCTCTGAGACACTGAAGACACCAGATCAAGAGTCACTCATGTAAGAAAAAAACAGTGTCACGCTTTCTTCTGAAACACACAGTACATGTATTTATTTAATTAAATCACAGTCTTTACATTTGAAGGCTCTATTGTGATTTTGGTTTATTTCAAGTTTGCAGCCCTACCAGGATCACCAGGAGAACACCTTGAGGAACCCAGGACAAAGACAAAGACCAAAACAAAATCATCCCAACCTTGAGCTGTGGAAATGGGTCATGCTCCATTGTACGGCTCTCTACAGCCCTGACCAGGCAGGAGTGGCACTATCAAACCTATTTTAGGTTTCTAAAGATATCCAACACCAAGGGAACTCTATTTATAACCACAACAAAAAAGAATTCAAGGTCAGTTGTGCCCAAGACTATTCTTATGCAGTCTAGTGACTTGAGACAGGGCTTTATGCTTGTTGTTTAGAAGCACTCATGCCCCTCCAAAAGCAGCACTTATCTCCTTATGAACATCTGATAAACAAATATATTTTGATTACACTTTCACTAACAATAGTAAATTAAAATACAAATATTCATGGTTGTCTTTGTTTCTTTCATTTTTAAACATTAAACAATAGAGCTTTGAATTTGCAGAAAACTACAGGAAGACCTTAAGGCTTCTCTACAGTTCACAACTGATTTATAAATGAGTCTTATTACAAATTGTTTACAAGCAGAGGGATGTGCACCCGTGTGTTGTGGTACTTCCGTGAACGTGCATCAAAGACTGACACAAAAAAAGAAGAATTGTTGAATAAAGTTGTTATTTTCATTTTCTTTACACACAAAAATATTCTCGTAGCTTCATAAAATTACGGTTGAACCACTGATGTCACTTGGACTATTTTAACAATGTCCTTACTACCTTTCTATGCCTTGAACGTGGTAGAACCTTGCTGTCTATGGAGGGTCAGAAAGCTCTCAGATTTCATCAAAAATATCTTAATTTGTGTTCTGAAGATAAACAAAGTGTCTTACGGGTTTGGAACGACATGAGGGTGAGTAATTAATGACAGAATGTTCATTTTTGGGTGAACTATCCCTTTAATTGCAAACCGAGCAGCACTGAAAACTGTATCATGAACTGCTTGTGCATAAAAGAGCTTTTTTTTTTTGTTTGAAAGCACAAAGTGCTGAGAGACCCCCCCCACTCCCAATTTCAAAATATGTATTTTACAATATGCATTGACGCACTATGCCTTAAATTCAGTACAACATTATAATTAAATGGGCTTTCTACACTGTACACAACATGCATTAGAGATTAATAACAACTGGATTTTGATCCTGATGTTATGATGTTTTGACCAGGTGCATACAAATTATTTTTACATTTGCACAGTAATTTTCAGTTGCAAATGCTCATTGTACAGCCCTGTGATATCATATAATTCAAGATACCTAGCAAACAAGCATGATACTATTTTAAATAGAACTGCACAAACATATACTTTTATCTCTAATGAACAGCTAGTGGTGATTTAAAGTGTGACATTTTCTTATTTTACAGGAGTGTGATACCTGAGCGGAGGATCACTGGACTCTTCATCATCCTCTACCTGGACCTGCCTGTGGGCCTCCCGAACACGACTGAACACAGAAGGACTGAAAAACAGACAACAACAGGGAAATAATAAACCACATGATTTCCCAACAATGAAAACTAAAATTTGCAGTTCTGTCCAGTCTTTAAATTAAATAAAAAAAGGATCCTTATTAAGGAGCTGTATTACAAATGTGTTAAAATGACTAAGGCCGAGAATCAGCAGCTCTGAGTGACAGCTGAAAAATGAATCCATCCCACAAATAAGCTTCTGCATAGCAACCACTGCAGGTTACCTGGTTACATCCATGGCAACAGTGGTAGCCTTGGAGACAGATCCTTCCTCATCTGTTAATGGTGGTTCTGGGGAAGCATTAAAATCAAGCTTAAAGGGATTGTTCACCCAAAAATAAAAATTCTGTCATCATTTACTCACCCTCATGTCGTTCCAAACCTGTATGAGTTGCTTTCTTATGTTGAACACAAAAGAAGATATTTTGAAGTTTGCTGGTAATCAAACAGTTGGTGGTTGCCATTGACTTCCATAGTAGGAAAAATAAATACTATGGAAGTCAATGGCAACCACTAACTGTTTGATTACCAGCAATCTTCAAAATATCTTCTTTTGTGTTCAACATAAGAAAGCAACTCATACAGGTTTGGAACGACATGAGGGTGAGTAAATGATGACAGAATTTTCATTTTTGGGTGAACTATCCCTTTAATGGGTTAAACTTTAGACCACTTAAAAAGAGTACTAGTACTATTTACTAACTTAATACTCATTTTATTTACTCACTCACTTCATTTAATTCATTACATCTCACAGTATATAACCATGTTTGAAACAATAATAAAAAACTATAAAAAATGTATGTATATGGGTAATTGTAATATTTTAATTTTATTATATTTTTAATTAAATAAAATTAAATAATAAAACATTTTTTATTTGTATATCATTGTAATTATGTTATTTCAATTATACATTATAATTATATTATCATGTGTTCTTGGTGTAAGACGGTGAGTGAAAATGTCAATGTGTGAAAATCAACAACAACAACAACAACAACAACAACAAAAAAACGGCTTTTACTCTGCAGGCTGAAATGTTCTGATCCCGAGCTGCCCTCCTCCACCGGTGTCACCAGTTTCATCCTGAGACTCAGTTTCCCATCTTGCTCCACTGCTGCTGGCTCTTCGCCCTCTCTGCTCTCCTCTACCGAAATCTCACTGGCTGCCATTGTCGTCTCCCTGGTAACGTCGGCCTCCGACGGCTCTGAGAACGAGGTCATCTCTGCAAAACATCAAAAAGGCACGAAGAAAAAGAAAAATGGTTCACCACAACAAGGACAGGAAGGTTAAGAGGGAGGGGTGTGCAGTTTCATCTCAGCATACTGATATTTAAACACAAATATGTTATGCAACGAAAAGAAAGAGACACCCACCAATAGGAGTGCTGTGTCTCGGTGTCTTTTTCAGCTGACTAATCTGTGGAGGAGTTGCACTCACTGCTGGGCGGATCAGTTCGCCCTCTTTGGGCAATGTAAAGTGAAACGGAAGCTCTGGACAGGAAAGAAAGAAACAGAAAACGGCTAGTTGGATTTACTGAAGACCGGTTACATAATCAGCAGGGATAATAGATCACTTGTTTGAGGCTTAATCTCACCTCCAGAGCTGTCGCTCAGACTTTTGTTGGCGGCATTGTCTGAGTTTTTTTTGTGCTGTCCTGCATCACTGGGCTGTGTGCTCTTGGACTTGGCTCTCTCGAGCTGTAAAGGTGAAACCTCAGTTGATCCCGCCGGCTGAGATCCTGAGATCTTTGCCGTGGCCTCATGTTTGTCCTGCACAGAGCCCCTCACAGGTTGCGAAGAGCTTATGAACGGCTGTGACCTCCCATCCTTCACTTTCTCTTGAGAGACCCTCTGGCTCTCTTCTAGCACCATGACACTGAAGCTCTCCTCTTTACTGGTGTGGTCGTCTCTGCTGGGTTCACGTTGGGATATCTCCTTCTCTTCCTCTCCATTCTCCTCCTCCATGGGTTCTGGAGAAAGCACCTGGCTCTGAGACAAGCCCAGCTTTATCCCAGTGTCATCACCTGTCACCTCTCTCTGAATCTCACCTTCATCCATCCGCTTCTCCTCTTTGGTATTTCTAACACTGTCTGTAACAACACTGTGGCTGTGTGTCATGGGCTGACTGAGTCTCTGGCTTTGACTAACACTTTCTTTTTCCTTCTCTGTGTTCTTTTGGGACGAAACAGTTAAGACTGACTGAGACAGAGACTGTTGGGGGACAAGAACAGGACTTATGGGTCTGTCAGCTGATGGCGAGGCTTGTGAACAGTCAGCGACTGTGGTTTTACTTGTTTGTGGTGCATTAGGGGTGTCTGAAACACACTCTGCACCGGCAAGCTGGGAAGGAGTCGCAACTGGAGAAGCGCTTATGTTCTGGTTCCCTACATTAACAACCTGTGAGAGCTTTTGAGAGGGGTTACAGTCTTCTGTACATTTTGAGTCAAGCCTGGAAAGGCTTTGTGAATTTGATGATGTAACAGGCTCAGGGTCCGTAACATTCTTGCTTGCATTTTGTGAATGGTGTTTAGGGTTTGAGTTGCTCTTGTCTGCACCACCAGTTCCTTCCTCTTCCACGATCTGTGTGGCTTGGCTATCCTCCTCCACAACGAACAACTGTGTCTTCTGAGCAAAACTGCTGTTTTCACTGTCGAGCTCCAACTGAAAGCAGTCAGCCACCTCAGAGGTATGTGAACCGCTCCTTGAAGACTTTTTCAGCTGCTCCGCTGGGCCGGTCTGCTTGGGCGATCCTGACTCGGTTGCTGATGGGTTGTTTTGATGAGGCAACTTCTTTGAGCTCTCAGTCCCTTGATTTTTGTTCACAGGTTCAAGACTTGGAGTGGAAATAAACACGTCCTACATTGAGAAAACATGGAAAATACGTTGTCAACAAAAGGATGTGCAGATATGTTTAAGTGGAATGCTATGAACTGTAACACATAGTTAAGGTGTGGTCACATTAGCAAAATTTCAGCAAAATAGGTCAATTTTTTATTGTCAGTAGTGTAGCAATATATAAAGCACAGCTCACACAGAAGTCTCTTTCAAACTGAACGGTTTTCTATTGGTTAACATTTGCCCAAAATCTGCATGGTTGCATGGTAAAATCTTTCACACTCACGCAAAATTCCTAATAATTTGGATTTCTATTGAAATTCGACATATGTGACCACATGTGTACACCTGAATAATTGATGCCTACATGTGAGAATTCAGGCTGGCTGGGGACAGAGAGGCTTTTCTCTAGAACAAATCCAGGGGAATTCTGGGACACTGGAGTGGAGGCTGTGGGTTGTGGTTTGGGGCAGGGGTCCATGTCCATTGGCTCCTCCTCTCTCCCTGGTGGCTGGACCTCAGGGGGTGCTGATGTGTCCATTGGGGATGCAGCAGCTTCATTATAATCTAAAGGGAATCATTTAGGAATGCGTCTGAAAACCTTTTTACATCACATAAGCCTAATCTGTATGTCAAACACACTTACTCTGCTCTTTTTCTGTGGGTGAATTTGGGACAATGTAAGGTGTTTGGCTTAAATTGTCCTGAGTGGCAGACACAAAGTCAACAGATTGCCTAAAGAAATGACAGAAAAATAGGCAGTTATCCATTTCCACAATTAACCTTTTTAGTGTACACAGAGAAACCGATCAAATCAAAATGGGATTAAAACTTTCCGTCATCAAAATCATTAACATTCTTAACTGAGAAAATCAAGACAATTTTACATTTGTGGGTAAACTATAAGCTGAAGAGTCAAGTAAGTTTATATATTACTATATTTATATATTACTATTTATATATTGGAATATCGTAATTCAATATTCTTTACTTTTTCTATAATCCATAAAATAATAGATTCATAATTTTACCCTCCAACCTAAAGAAAACGTGTCAATAAATCATGCTAAGAATAACCACTTACTGTGAAAGACTCTCCTGTACAAGTGTGCCCTGTCCAGACAGATGAAGCAAGCGAAGACTATGTGCAGGTGTGGATGTCGGCCGGTGTTCTCTGTCAAGCTCTGTAACACTGCTGTCTGCCTTGGTGCCTGTTATAGTGAACATGATTCTATTACAACAATAAACTAAACAAAAAAACATATTTAGACAATAACAGATAATAAGAGGAATCATTTGGGTCTACACACTATTTCTCTCCTTTTCAAACATGTCATCCTGAGAGGAAGCAAGCACATCTTCTTCATCTTCTTGACCGTCAGATAATTGAGAGTGCAGTATAGCCTGAATACTGAGCTTCCTGCTTTCCCCATCCTGAGGCTTCGAAGAGCAGCTTGAACTGACCTCTGACCTACAATATCATCAAGAAAATTAGAAGTCAAGCTACTGGACAAACTATTATTAGTTAGAACTGTACAATAACGACAAAAAATATTTCTTAAAATGTCATGCTTCATTAGTGAAAACTAATTTCAAGCCTCTGATTCAGCATTGCACAATGGACGTGTTGACAATTGTCACACTTCGTTAATCATGGTGGCCGTAATAATAATCTTGAGTTTTCAATGCTTTTGAAAAAGATTCTTGCCCTGAAGAATTTCCATCTTGATTGGATGATGTTCTTTCAGAACTCTTCAATCCACCTGACAGAAAAAATGACCAGAAACCAATTTTAAAAAAAACTTGATTAAAGGGTAGCAGATCAATAGTTTGCAGTAAAAATGTAAACATACATTGGCTGGCTGGTTTCTGAATGTTTGTTTTATTTGCAGGAGCTCCATCCTGCTCATCTTCCTCAAAGACTCCCTGGCTCTCCGACAGCTCCAAGAAACCGAACTGAGACATCTCATCTGTGATCAGATTAACACAAACATTCATTTATTCTATTAATAATGTATTTTATTAATAAAGAACACTTTTGAGAGGCAGCATCATATGAAATGAATGGCCATAGTGCTTTAGTGTTGTTATAGTTAACGAAAACTAATTGAAATGAAGCTGAAATAAGTGACGTGACATGTGACCAAGTATGGTGACCCATACTTGGAATTAGTGCTCTGCATTTATCCCATCCAAAGTGCACGCACACAGCAGTGAACACACACCCGGAGCAGTGGGCAGCCATTTATGCTGCGGCGCCTGGGGAGCAGTTGGGGGTTCGGTGCCTTGCTCAAGGGCACCTCAGTCGTGGTATTGAAGGTGGGAGAGAGCGCTGTACATTCACTCCCCCCCACCTACAATCCCTGCCGGTACGAGACTCGAACCCGCAACCTTTGGGTTATGAGTCAGACTCTCTAACCATTAGGCCACGACTTCCCCTATTTGCAGGAGCAATATATATATAAAAAAACTAATACACAAAGTACACAAATAATTCAAAAAAAAAAAAAAAACACTATTGTTTTGAAATCTTACCATGTGTCTCTGTACAGTGTGTGGTGGAGTTAGCCTCAGACTCCATGTGCTCTGTAACACTTCTGCACAAACACAATTACAAACAAAGACAGCGGATAAAAAACTAAATTAAAGCTTTTTAGAAGCTAATGAAATATTTCTCTCTGCATGGAAATTGTAAAAGGTGTCAAGGCAGCTCAATGTTTTTAGTACCGTTTTGAGACTGGATAAGAGTGAACTTCAAAAACTTGACTATGCTCTGTAGCTGCTGAACCCGGGTCGGACTGCGAATTGTCTGAAACAAATCAAAACCCCTTTTTCAATAAACAAATAAGAAGTGAAATCTCCTAAGTTCATTTACTCACCTGAGTGGGCTGTAGTGTCACTCTTATCAGTCTGACTGTCACTTTGCAAACAACGACTTTTAGTAGGGGAAGAAATGAGCTCCTGCAAAGGCATGATGACTCAATATCAATTTTCTTCATAGAGTCTTTATAGAGAAAACACACACGCTGCTATGGCTTGTGATGCCTCACCAGCACAGGGCTTTGTGATGTGGGCTGCAGGTTAGAGAGGCGGCGGGCGAGAAGGGCACAGTAGCTGGTGTCAGGATCGTCCTCCAGGGCCACGCTGTCAGGCTGGGAGTCCTCAACTATGAGGCAGGGGTTTTCTGTCTGAGGAAAACTTGAATCAAGATCACTCTCACCAGGATCCATAAGGATGGGACAGGGTTAGCAGATGTCTACATACACAGAGATCAAACAGGAGGGTTAGAACACAGAGACGACAGATGAAAGCCACTCATGTATCCAAGTACATGATTTCATAATGTAAACTAAATAAGGTTATGTGTTTGGCAGGGGTTTTGTTTAGATGTATTTTTATGTTTATGCATCGTAAATCACCTTGTGTACAAGCTGAAAGCTATGTATATACTTGACATCTTTTTTTTGTACTTTTATTGTTATTATTAGTAACTCTGTCAAGAGAAATGCTGGTCATGTGTTTCTTGATTTTCTGCACGTATTTTGAAGTTTTAACTTTACTTTAGTTTGTACTTTAGTCAAGCTAGTGTTTTAGACAGTACAGCTCGTTTCAAAGCAGCTTTACATTGGTAAACAAGAAAATAATTAATTAACTGATGCAAAAAGTATTTAATTCTGCAGCTTTTAATGTAAATTAATTTTGCTAGCACAAAAGTAGAAAGACAAAATTATGCTCTTCATATTTTTCTTCGAATCTCGCTTTGTTTTTTCTTTTTGTTTGTTTTTGTATTTGAGCTTGGTCATGTGATTTAAACATGGCGGCGCCCATAAAGGGGCGACTCGCTCCACGTAATTTAGGAGAAGAAGAAGAAAATAAACAGAAATTCTTTGAAAGCTGTATACAGGGCCTTTATCTCATGTCAGTCTACAGCATTTGGGATATTAAAGCAAAAACGTGTGCATGTGTTTAAGGTAATACTTTCATGCATCTTTGACAGAACATGTTTACCAAGACGTTGTACATAAAAAAAATTATTTCATTTATACAAATGGCGATCTTTAATCGCGAGATTTCCTGCTGCTTGGCTGCACGAGACTACAAGTAAACTCAATGCAAATAATCCCAGAAGTAAAATCTATACAACTAAACAACACCAAGAAATGCACAAATGATTTGCTAAGACTCAAATAGCCAAACACGTGGATTAAGCGCATTTTCTCACGAAAAGCCACAGCTGTGTCACGGAGAGATTGCGCATAGCACTGCAGCTATAACCTAAAAAGAAAGCTGCCTTCCTGTAAAACACAGCCGGGGAAAAGTAGCGATCTTACTTGCTGGATCCCTGGTAGGCGTTAATTCATCTCAGCGAACGCGTTGCATTTTACAGTGCAGTGAGAGCACGTACAGAACTTCTGTACGCTTTCACAGCCTAACTTTAGCGAAAGCTTTTACTTCGCGGCAAAAGCCCTGCAGGAATACTCGCCGTTGATTGGGCATCACAGTTCCTGACTCAACCGAACGGCTAAAAAACGTATTTTGATTGGCCGAGAGAGAAGGGTAAGGCGGGGTTTTGTACTCGACTTGGAATTGCGCAGATGTTTAAAGGATCTTTTCGTGTTTTATTTACCATTGCAAAAAGCCTTAAATTAAGAAAAAACGTAATTATAACTGTAAGAGTATTATTAGTAATGGGTTTGTTGCAACTTGCTTCAGCCGACCGCCATCGGTGCATCGCAAAGTTAAGATACTGTATCAATCACGCCCACTAAAAGCAGAGCCCCAGTAGCCTGAGACTAAATCAACACGACTTACAAGAGATAAAGCAGTGGCTATCTTTGATTGCAGTTAGCTCAGTGGTTAGCTGAAATCTCTTGAGAGAAGTCATGTATCCTGAGATGAGCTTTGTTGTTGTTGTTCATTTATTCAATTGAATATTGTTAGATCTGGAAGCTCCACTTTGATATTTAAGATGATATTATCATTATTAGTATTAGTATTAGTATTACAACCAGTGTTGGGGGTAACACATTACAAGTAACGTGAGTTACGTAATCAGATTACTTTTTTCAAGTAACTAGTAAAGTAACGCATTACTTTTTAATTTACAAGAGAATATCTGAGTTACTTTTTCAAATAAGTAACGTAAGTTACTTTTTTTTCTCCAATTTATTGATTGACAGCTCTCCTGTCCTCATGTTGAGACATCAGAAGATGTTACTGTAGTTCAAAATAAATATGAATATGCATTAATTCATCTCACTCACAAAAAAACAACAACACAGATTCAGTATTCCTCAAAATGAATAAAAACAACACAACTCAGAATATGAAGCAAACCTGCAATAATTAAATGTTAAACAACACAAATATAATTTATGTATTTAATCCCATTCTATTAACCAATGTCTTTGCTTCTGACCTTCGATGATCCAGTTCAAACATACTAATGAGCAAAAATGACTCTAGACAAACATTTGTGTCTTTTTTATTGCTGAAGTGTGTTGAAATGGCTTCTTCTGCATTCTACTGTACGGATGTAAATGTACGTTCCCTTCAGCCTGAGGCATATTCATTTCACTTCTGGTGTGAAAAGGCTTTTATATTTGCCAAAAATATAACTTTTTTATTTTAAAAACAAACAAGCAAGCCCTGTCCAGATCTAAAAAGTAACGCAAAAGTAACCTAACGCATTACTTTCCATAAAAAGTAACCAAGTAACGTAATTAGTTACTTTTTTATGGAGTAACGCAATATTGTAATGCATTACTTTTAAAAGTAACTTTCCCCAACACGGATTACAACAATAACAGTTACAACAAACTTAGGGTATCTGTAGTAGGTTATTTTTTGAATCTAGTTTCTTTACACAACCAGGTGCCATTTGTGACTTTCATATTTGTTTTAAAATAACTTTCACAATGTTGATTTCCACTTTTGCTATCTTCCTCTGTGTTTTTTTTTTATATACATCAAATAAAATCCAGTCACTTTATTTAGTTTTCCTTTTATTTCCACAATGAAAAGGCCTATTTTGGCCTATTTTTTTTTCAGTTTCACCTTGCTGTATTTTACATAGGCTACATATACACACACATATGTTACAACTCATTGAAAAGAGGATAGCCTATCTGTAGAAATATCATAATTCAATTCAGAGACTTATTCTTTGTGGCTCCAAATGATGTTTGAACTTGGTCATTAGACGTCAGTCACTGTTGCTAGATTTTAAGATAAGGCTATTCATCTTATATTTTCATTCTGGGTTATTTTAGTTTATTTAAATGAACAAATAGTTTTGGTTTTAGCAGCACTGGGAATCAGAGCATAAACAATGCTGTTCATCTCATCTGTGATCTCTGACAGGCTAAACGAATCAGGTCATTTTTCCACATTGTTAACTGTGTTAGTTATAATGCTCCTGGAAGACTGGGAATCTGAACTGAAAATGAAATGGTATTTAAAGCAGTTTGTTACCTTTTGAAAGTAAACCACACTGAAGAACAACAGAGAAATGTTTTCTTTTGAAAGCTTTCAGTTGGGTATAGATTGATGCTAAACTGAAGGTATTTCTAGTAAACCTGGCTGATTCATCAGTGAATTTCTAGTCTAGTATAGAGTCCCTGTATTCTTTCACTATCAGAGTTTGACCTAGTCTAGAAGTGAAAGGAAACTAGAAACTCTAATTCTGGCTTGCAGGCTGCTTTTTTTCCCGCTCAGAGAATCTTGACAATAAGAATCCCTTTGTTATTTCACAGAGCCTGCCTTTTTTGACTGCAACGTCTTTGTTTCAATAAGCTGAGGATTTTTCTGCTAGTGTTGTTTAGTATCATTAGATGCTTAGTCACGAAAGTGACTTCAATCAATAATGATCTCCTGTATTGATTATTAGGTTACAAGGTGGATATTTCACCCAGTTATCTCACAAACCATAAAAAGCATGCCCATCCCAGATGCTTGACAAGAATAATAATGAAAAAATGCAAAACTGCTGCACCCACACAGCGTGCAGACCAACCTCAGCCCCTAGTAGAAAAGTATACAGCTGTAATTGCTTTGTAAATGCATTCATGCCACTTCTGGCATAAGGAACACTTGTGATGTTGTGAGATTCAGAACATATGTTCTGTTTACTCTGTCAGAATCACAGTATTTGTGATAGCAGGTAGCTTCATGCCATTTGACAACTAATAGATTATGCAAAGGTGACAAGGTGAGTGTGAAACAACAGTTATATGAAATCACAGGGAGAAAGATTAGATTGCATGAATTGCATTACAGGCTTCCTGTGAGCTTGCCCTGGCAAACAAACCTGAGGTCCCACATCCAATGAAATGGCAGCATTCTGTAAATGCATGATCAATTATGGAGTGCGTTTATTTTACTCTTATTATTTCCATCATAAATATTCAGTTTTTCAATTCAGCTGGGCTCTGTTTGCATTGACAGTACGCTTCTAACATTTGTATGTGGTAAATTCTTCAGTAGAGTACATGCATTGTGGAGTGTGTGAATGTTGTTTTTCACCCGTGGTATCTGTTCCTGTGCTTCATGGATGTTTATAATTCATAATTAAGCAAGATTCAGATCAGCATGTCCCCTGCTAGTTTGTATATCTCTTTTCTGCCGATGAAGAAAGGAAATTCATTTTCCATAAGAAATGAAAGCAACAAGCTTTGCATGTTTCCAGGCAACACACAGACTAACAGCCTATCTGGAACAGCTGTATGGGTGGAATAGAGTGACACACCTGGGATTACACGACTGTTATATTTGTTAAACGTGTGAATTTGTGAAGCCCGTTTATATGTGTAAAAGAATAAGGATTTTAAATCAGTAGTACTTGAGTTATATAATAAATAAAAATAAAAAAATGTGTGTGGTTAAAGGAATAGCCCATCAAAACATGGAAATGTGCTGACAATTTACTCACCCTCAGGCCATCCAAGATATAGATGAGTGTTTCTTCATCAGAACAGATTTGGATAGATTTAGCATTACACCACTGCTCACCAATGCATCCTCAGAAGTGAATGGGTGCCGAGAGAATAAGAGTGCAAACAGTTGATAAAAAACATTACAATCAATGTATTGTGAAGCAAAAAGTTTGCATCAATCAATCTATGAAACAATTCATCACATTTGAACCTTAAAATTATGCTTCTGGCAAAAATGTAAATCTGTCCACAATATTTATGCAGTTAAAATTCATCTTATATGAATAAAGAGAGAACTATACAAAGGTCAAGCAACAGTTTGTCAGTGGATTTTTATGTGAAAAGACTGCATTTTCACAGGATTTAACAAGTGATGTAATGCTAAATTTATCAATTTATCTGTTTCAATAAAGAAACAAACGCATCTACATCTTGGATGGCCTGAGAGTAAGTACATTTTCAGCAAATACTCATCGGTTACACTTTACTTGAAGGGGTGTGCATAAGACTGACATGACACCTTCATAATCATGACATGATACATACATAATCATGACATGACACTTCATGAATATGAAGGTTTTTTATGCATGTTTATGACAACTGTCATTAAGTGTCATTCGCTCAGTTATGTCATTTTTAATGCAAATATGACATTATTTGACCTAACCCTAACCTAACCCTACCCGTACCCTTACCCCTAACCATAGCCCATAACAAAGACATCTCAAACAATGTCATCTTTGCATTAAAAATTACATAACTGAGCGAATGACACTTAATGACAGTTGTCATAAACATGCATAAAACCTCCTTCATATTCATGACATGTGTCATGTCATGATTATGAAGGTGTCATGTCAGTCTTATGCACACCCCTTCAAGTAAAGTGTTACCTATTCATCTTTGAACTTTTTCTTTAACACTCACACATATACACATACCAACGTAACTTTATTTGATCTATTATAAAGAACATAACATTTGCTGCTCTGTTCATATCTAAAGTGTTGGCATTTCTGAGCAGCACAGCTGATAACAACATGCTATGCTGCACACTGCAACCATCAGCAGATATGAAGCTAAAGAGGATAAAGCATTAAATCTAAATTTACTTCCTCTGCAGTGTGGCATACCAGCACCCACACACACACACACACATACTTGCATGCACAAGATTGCATACATTGCATGGTCACTCTATCACTGCTTACTTGGTCACCTATTTTTCTTGTCTTTCTTAATCTCTCCATTCTGGGGTGTTGTACGTCATGGCTTCAATATAAATTCTCTGTTATCCTGCCTTGTGCCATATGGTTCCTCATATGTGACTGCTGACTCCCTATCTATCGCTGCATGAATTAATCATCAGTCCCTTCTCTATTATTATTTACCAGTGGATCATACTATTGATAACAATATCTTATCTTATCTTCCAAATGATTTCCTCCACCAATTTCTATTCAGTAGAGAAGCAGTCCACGTGAGACCCTATCAGTGTATAGTGGAGTCTATAATGGGCTTATGGGTCTTATAG